GCTGTACTGTTTTTTTTTTTTTTTGAATGAAGATTTATGACGGCTAGGGTTTCATGCTCTGATACCATGTAGAGAATAGAGAAAACCCTAATAGTTTATTGAGAATAACAAGAGAGATATATATAGCCATACAAATAGGGTTAAGGTTAACGGGTAACAGTCCATTAACCCAATACCCAATATTTAACTTAACAAGGGGGATTCAAACCACTTTTTCCATGTCCACCCTTTTATGTAGTTCAGTTTGTTCTTTAAATTTTTTCGCTCACAAAATAATAGATCCATATTTCTTTACTTATGAAACCTTTTAGTTAATTATCCTATCCATTTAGGATGTCAGTCTCATCTTAATTCAACAATCTAAGGTACATTGTCAAAGTGGTAACCACTAATTTATTGGGTTTTCACATGTAGCAACTAATCTACCATCTCTATAACAAAAAATGACATATGGGTAATTAACCCCCAAGAAGTTGAGTATTTGACACTAAACCCTTATTACCTTTAAAACTCTCACTAAACCCCAAAAAAGGTTTGGCAGAAAATTATCAAATTAACATTGTTATTTCATGTGCGGTCAAATAACCTAAATTGCCAATAAATTTTGGCAAATACTGCACAATAAGTTTTTAGTTTTTGTGAATTAACCCCCAATAACTTTCAGCTAAAAACGCAATAACAGTTGTTTATAACTTTCATATATAATTGTCAAAATTTTCAAGAGGTTGTTTACAATTTCCAGGTATAAAAGGGGTCATTTGTAATTTCTCGACTTTTGCAGGGAGCTAATCTAATATTTAAAGTTTTCAGGTGATTGTTTGTAATTTTCATATTTTTAAAGGTATTATTTGTAATTTGTGTATTTTTCAGTATTTGTTTGTAGTTTTCGGAATTTTCAAGGAGGTAGTGTGTACTTGTTGAAATTTTAAAGGAGTTGTTATTAACTTTTAGATTTTTAAGTATTTGTTTGTAATTTCATATTTTTTAGAGGGATGTTTGTTTGTTTTTGTTTTTTTTGTATTTTTAGGTATTTGTAATTTCTAGATTTTTCAAGGGGTAGTGTTCAATTTGTTTTCTATAGAAAAAAGAAAAGAGAATTAAGAATATTATCATTTGACTTTTTAATAGGGATAATTATATTTTGATTAGGATTATCAAATATTTGATTACAATTAGAATTTATTTTTTTAAGTGATATATAGATAATATTGGCCTTGGTGCATTTCATCATTTATAAAGTCAATAGCGGATGTTATACAAAACTGGAAGTATGAGGGGCTTAAGTGCAAAACTGCACTTATAAGTTTGGGCGATGCATGTAAGGAGTATGGGTAGGGTCTTTGAGTGATTGAGAGTATTGTATGAGATTGAAAACTTAATTATATATGTACACATATATGCTAGAGGGGTCCATTTGGAAAATATGGAAGTTGGGGTGTTTTGTGCAAAATGCACTTATGAATTCCAGGCACATAAAGGCACGGTTAATAGGAGGATCTTTATGACATATTAGAATTTTTTATTATGGATAGTCATGTTTTAATTAGTATCACCAAATATTTGACTACGATTAGAATTTCTAATTATGGATAGATTTAATCTCATGAGAATTCTTAGGCGAATATAGAAATAGAGATATGACATACGGCATTATTTGTGCGTTTAGGTGGCATTGTTATGTGCCTTTAGGAGTAGTTCGCTAATTTCTCATTATATATGGAGGAGGGATACTCTGATATGTTCTTGTATTTGGGTCTATGTGAGAGAGAGAAAGAGGGAGAGAACAAGCGGATTGCTTTCATCGTACATACTCTATTATGTTCTTTGTAGTTGGGTCTTATAACTCATGCATTCAAGGGTTCTACAATATTTTATTATTTTCTCTTTAGCGAAACATGGTTGATAATTTACACGGACAAGTTGTTTTATGAACTTTTAAAATGATAAGTGGAGTGGACATAAGGAAACACAGAAACCATTCCCTAATCATCTATAAAATCTCAATCCACAGAGGAAGATTTGAACATTTACAACAGCCAGTAAAGATAGGCTTTTCAGGCATGTTCAACATGCATCTGCATGTGAATGACAAAGCGTAAAATATAATGTTCAGAAGAAATTAAGTAAACATGATATCTTATACAAAATGAAAATTACAGACCAAGAGATATAGTGTCTGATATCTCAAATGTCTAGCATATAATAAGCAAAGATATCTTAAAATCATGAAGGATACGTATTTTATAGACCATATAATAAAAAAATATAAGCCACAATTCAAGGCCATACTGTTCCTTCATATGTCCTATGTTTATGCGTTCTTTGTCATTTTTACAAAAAAATGCTTATTTAACGAAAACTGATTTCTCATTTGATCTATAGAAACATAACATTAAAAATTAAAGTATTCAACCCAAAGGATTCAAAAGGAAAAGAAAACATCACCTAAATCAATTTACCTTTCTCTGTGTAATCAGTATATAAAATATGAACTTAACAAGTGAGATGAATAGTACCGAATAGTCTTTGCTCTCAACAAAAAGACGAATAGCATCATCAGCTGCTCCACTGGCAATTACACCCTCCCTACAGATTAAGAAATGAAAACAGTGAATTCCTTCTTACAATGTGCAATCAACAACCGGCATTCCCTCAGTAAATTAAGGCTGATTACCCACATCCAACAACAGTTTAAAATCTAAGCATATCTGGTAAATTCGCCTATGTTGATTGAAAATCAATAACACTATTATCATATTATCAACTAGATCATTTCAAGCATTGTTTGTCAACAGGTTAAGGTTATGAAATATAGTTGTATTTATCCAAAAAATTATAGAAACTTCTATTTTCTCCAGATGACTTCGAACGATCAATGTTTGTGGATTTTCCCATCAGTAGCCTAATTTAGGAGCACAACGTAGTGGATACAAATAGTGTTGCCTTTTGTTTAACAAAGTTTAACTAGCACCCCCAGATCCTTTACCATCCTGAATTTGTTACTTTTGTTTCTGTTGGCTTAGTTGATGACAGACAGTACAAACAGTGATGGAACAATATTCTCAACGATCAACCGTGAATACTGTGCAGATATTATTATGATAAGCGATTTGAGAGCGAAATGGGTTAACACTTAATTTCTGTACTACATTAAAACAAGGAACCTAATATAACATCACCTACTACATTAAAACAAGGAACCTGATATAACATCACCTTCAACCGCAATATTTCAAATAATTATGCAGAATACATTAGGACTGTTCTACACTAGAACATAAAACATACATAAAATCACCTTCAATACAACATTATACACAATTATGCAGAATACATTAGGACTCGTGTCTCGGTACCCACATTACTAGATTCATGATGTACTTTGGTACATGGCATTGCACCAGATGAAATGAGGTGTATTATTCTGAACAGTACTAAAGAGGCAGGCTTAATCAGAGCAGTAATCAGGGTCCTGGCATATATGGATGCATTTGCACGAGGATTTTTATGATTAAGAGCATATTCATGTGTGCATGAGAACGAATGAAGGACATTTGACGACACAAAAGTTACGGATTAGGATAATAGGACCTAGCATCGCTTAACATCTATGATTATAAGCAAGTGTGTGATACTCGAGCCAATAATTTAATATACTAAAAATAAGACTGGAACATGATGAGTTCCTAGTCAATATAAATAATTGCTAAATTTAAATCCACCAAACTAAGTCTTGAAGGGTCTGAGAAAGTCTAAATAGAGAATGGTAACTGATCAAGCAAAATATCATGTAGTGGTCATCACTCACTTACTGTTACTGATCTTCCGTTAATTACTGAATTGCCAGTCATCCTGATCTAAATCAAGAAGACATAACAAGTGGGAAAGCACAAACTGGATTAAAATTTTACAGAGGATTGTGTCAAATTAAATAACACTAGTGCTCTATGCTTATTTGTCAATATTTGGATTTTTCAGGTAGTTCGGCACTATAAAAGGACACTGGACATAAATATTTGTTAGAACAGTATCAGATCCAGATCTGTGATCGGCACTTGTAATGAAGAGAGCAATCTCACGACGGGCAGGGTGAACAGCACACATGCACTTATTTAGACCATTTTCTCAGCAATTGGAACTATAAAGACTGAGCATGTCATACATTCAGCTAGTACTATCCATATAGTAAGTAATTAACCAGTGGATCTAAACCATTGATGGTTAAAAACAATAATCATGAGTCCATCCATTTATAGAAAGAACAAATTGTCGAAAAAGAAGAATGCAAGAACCATGAGACCGCACTGAAAGTTATACAATTCACAATTGACCTGTTGCCACTGAAACGGTTAGGTCAACTATAAAAGACATCATTTCATACCTTGACCAATGAACTGAAAATACAGTCCTATCATGATATCCAGATAGAGTACATAAATGACTCCTGAAACAATCAGAAGAAATTGTTAACAAAAATGAAAAAGAGAAAACACAGATTAAGTACTTCAAATGTTAAAATTATGTTCTCAACGTGATCAACAAAACATTTATATGCAAAAACAATATCCATCAACACGTTAATGAAAGTAATCAGTATGGTAGTTATGCTGCAGTATAAAAAAACCAAACCCCTGTGCTTGTGTAGTTAGAAGAAAACACTCTGAAGTCTTAACATTCCCGCATAACAACCAAAGAAACGGACCACAAATTTCATTTCAGTTGAAGCATATCCGCCAAAAAGAGAATATAATTCAGTCCTTCTATTAAGGAAACTACAACATACTTCAACAATAATCTGATGGTTAGTTCAATAAGTGCTTAATCTTATATCTATAGGTATAAATCTCCCTAGAATACGTGTCCAGAACAGTTTACATCCACTAACACAACTAGCAAAAATGAAAACTTACAGCTGACCAACCCCGAACATATCATCCTTGAAGGAAGAAAAATTAGAAAAGATAGAAATTTATATGGCGAAATATAACCATTTGCTCAGAAGGATTGGATAATACGAATGAAATTCTCTGGTTTATTTTTGCAATTTCATTATAGGTCACATTTGCAACCAATTTAATGCCAATTTACATGCAACGTACAATGCAAAAAATAAAAAAAATAAAAAATAAAAAATAGATAGTATATGTAGCCCACAATAGATGTTAGAATCTAAAAATGGTGTCAGTGCATTAATTTTCTATTCCAGAGTACTGGGTGAATTTGGGGGATTCTAATCCTTGGTAGTTCTACCAGGAAAAGCCTGTCCAAATAGGCCAATCCTTTGGCTTGTTGAAAGCTAAAGAAAAAGCCTTGGCTTAAAAATCAAGAGGAGGAACACCTAGAATTGTAAAGTTTAAGTGGAAACCAGAAGTATTCACTTCAGGTTCATATGAATACAAAACGGGTGCTTTCTGTAACACAGCCAGTAAACAAAGAAAGAAGTAGGTACTTTCATAATAGCTAGACCAGCATGTAGTATAGCATTTACAAGGACTCATTTTAAAATAACATAAAAAATGCTCATCGGTCGTTCTTCAGTGTTTTGCATTTTCTTGGAACTACATATATCATACACATGCAGTATGATGTGAATGGAAATTGACGCTCAAAGAAGTATATGCTTATGGGTGAGGGGACGAGGTCAAATCCTAATGAAGTTATTGGAAGGGAAAAGTGTTGGAAGAAGCTATAGAGGGCATATGTGTTACTTAGTTTAAAATTAGCAGGATAAATGCAATTTTACCCTCTTTCTTTTCCTGTGGAATTGTAGGGCCAAAGTACTAGTTCATAGTTAAGATAATTGATTTCTTTGAGGCTTGCTATAAAAGTAATGTTTTCCTAATTATACATGTTATTACTTCCAAAATAGAATTGTTACAAACATTGAGATTACCATGCCCGACTAGTCAAATTTCCTTTTCTCCTTCAGTTAACACTAACACTTTATAATGCCATGTCCTGCAGTAGAAGGCAGAGTGAAATAAAAATGACAGTACTAAGCTCACCACTAATTAACTGTAAGTTTTCAATTAAGCTTCCAGATCCTTAAGCTCTAGGATCACCAAGAACGGAAAAATTCCTTGGAGCCTTATGCAAATAAGAATCTTTCCGGTTTCCCTAAGAATGCAAGTCTCATAATTATGTATATCATGATGCTGTTGCATGAAAAAACTGGTTTAAAAAAAACCATCCAAAATACATTTCAAGGGTCCTGGCATATAGAAAAGTAATCTCACATGCCACTATTAGCAAAAGTAACTTACCACGGCCGATCATTATCACCAACCGTCTGAGATGGGTCATTGCTAGTGTCCCAAATCTTCAATGTAAGGTCATCACTGCAGAAATTAACCATAACGAATCTACCATTATTCATATATAAAAACTTCTGTAGATATTCTTTTTTCCTTAGAAGTACAAACCTGCATGTAACCATTCTATCTCCACGAGAGTCGAAGGACAATGCCCAAACTGTTGATGAATGACCACTGAGACGCAAAAAAGGAAGAAAAGAAAAAATGTTAAAGATAATGTGAAATCTGTGAAGTAATAACTTTGAAGGCTAGAAAGTTTACGTTCTATAATATTAGTAGTAAATCACTTTGGCCATTTCTGTGCACGTGTCTGCACATTTGTGGGCATGCATGTGCACACTAACTCGCACATGAATATAGTGTACTATGCTCATCTACTAAAAAACGTTATTACAAAGATCTAGGCCCAGAAATCATTTAGAAAACGAATCCTCAATTCAAGCTGAAACATGAATCCACAGGTAGCCCCCCCCCCCCCACCCCACCCCACCCCACCCCACCCGGGGTTTCAATCTAATAGTTAACTAAAACTCCACTGAGAAAATGAATCCCCAACGCCTACAAAAGCACAAAAAATCATTCACAGCCCAATTAAATCCGCCTTAAAACCGCAAAATAAATTCCATTAGTTAGATGTTAAACTGCAAAGCAATGTCCTCAAGAAAAACAATTAAATTGCATATCAATATCAAATTGCTAATTGATATCAATACCTCCAATTTAGTCCCTAATTAAATGCCAAATTAGAAACCCTAAAAATTACTAACAATTTCCTATTTTGAGCCTAAATAAAGCCCTAAAAATTACTAACAATTTCCTATTTTGAGCCTAAATAAAGCCCTAAAAATTACTAACAATTTCCTATTTTGAGCCTAAATAAAGCCTTGATGAACACCCCCTCCGACCGATGATAAGATGTTGTCAATGAACTACTGCTGATGAGATCTTGCTAAGGTGATCTTGTGTCCACCGTCTAGAATGGGTTTTGAAAGGAGAGGAATGGGAGATGGTAAATTAAGGATATGGGACATTAGGGAGAGGGTTTTCAAGAATTTTTAAGCTATGTGTGTCAAGATTGGTTCTGCTCTTGTCAACAAAGACAACCACCAAAAGGTAAGGAAGCAAGTGTCAAAAAGAAAAAAAGGAAGAAAGAAAAAATGGCAGGGCACAAGAGTTAAAAAGGAAAGGAAGAAAAAAAGGAAGGGGGTATACGCAGGCTATAAAAACCCCTCTGCTCTCTCCATAATAAATATCATCAATCAGTGTATTCAATCCTTCTGAGTGTTCTTTAGAAGAGAGGCAAAATCAGAGAGTGATTTTGTAAAGAAAAATTCTATAGATATTTTTCTTGTGAGTTGTGTAAAAACACTTGTAAATTTTCTCCCCTTAGTGAAAGATCGATCTGCAGCAGCTCGTAAACGTAGTCAATTTTGTGCCGAACCACGTTAAATTTGTGTGTTGTTATTCCGCTTTATGCTTTCGCTTTCCTGCTAATCTGGTGATAGGAAAATCTTGTGTTATACAATTTTTTCCCAATAAATGGTATCAGAGCTCTGGTTGTAATGTTTGTCAATTTTCTATAAGATTACTATTCACATGAATAGTAAAGTTTGTGAATAGTAAAATTTGTCGGCGATACTGGTTCGTCGACAGCAGTGTTCTAATACACGGTGGTTCGCAGAAACAATCAGAAATGATCCAGAGTGTGCCAGATTCGAGTGGGAGCGATGACTGCAGACAAAGGGAATGTAAAAATTGAGAAGTTTGATGGTACGGACTTTGGCTTTTGGAAGATGCAGATCGAAGATTATCTGTATCAGAAGAAGTTGTCAACCTCTCTTAGGAAATAATTCAGATGACATGAAGGATGAAGAGTAAGCTCTTCTCGACAGACAAGCCCTTGGAGTTATCCGATTGACGTTATCCCGCAATGTGTCTTTAAACATAGCAAAGAAAAAGACCACGTCGGGTCTTATCGCGGCTCTCTACAGCATGTATGAGAAGCCCTCTGCCTCAAACAAAGTTCACTTGATGAGGCGACTGTTCAATTTGCGGATGACAGAAGGCGCATCGGTAACTCAACATCTTAATGAACTCAATACAATCACAACCCAGTTGAGTTCAGTTAGAATTGAGTTTGATGAAGAAGTACGATCATTGATACTTTTGTCTTCTCTACCAGAAAGTTAGAATGCTACTGTCATAGCTGTGAGTAGCTCGTCGGGAAGCAATAAGTTAAAATTTAATGATGTTCGTGATCTGGTTCTCAGTAAAGAAATTCGACGGAGAGAATCAGATGAAGCATCAACCTCCTCAGCCTTACATACGGAGTCTAGGGGAATAACTTTAGAAAGAAGTTCAAATCGTGACAGATCAAAATCTAGATGGAGGAAATCTATATCGGGAAAAAAAGATTTTAACTGCTATAATTATGGCAAGAAGGGTCATTTCAAGCGGGAGTGTCGGACACCGAAGAAAAATACCGACGCATAGGAGTCTGCCAACGTGACCAAGGAAGGAGGTGATGCTATTATTCTAAGCGTCAACAATCCGATTGAATCATGGATTCTTGATTCAGGGGCATCCTTCCATGCCACCCCATGCCAAGAAATCATGAAGAACTACGTCAGCAGTGATTTCGGAAAGATACATCTAACAAATGATGAAACTTAAAAGATCGTTGGCAATGAATACATCCGATTAAAATTGTCAAATCAGACCACATAAAAACTGCAATGAGTGAAACATATTCCTGCCCTTAAAAAGAATTTGATCCTATGCGACAGCTTGATGGAGAGGGTTACTGTACAACCTTCTCAGGTCATGAATGGAAGATTACCAAAGAAACACTCGTCATTGCTCGAGGTAAGAAAACCGGTACTATCTATGTAACCCATAACTTAGAGAATATTATTACAGTAATAGATGCAGATGAAAAATCAAACCTATGGTACCAAAGGTTTGGCCATATAACGAGAAAGGGATAAAGACACTTTAGTCAAAAGGAAAGCTGTCGGATCTGAAGAATGTAGATGTCGGTCTATGCGAGGATTGCATCTTTGACAAACAGAAAAAATCACTTTGCAAAGATTAGCAAGACACCCAAGACAGAAAAATTAGGATTGGTTCATATTGATGTATGGGGGCCATCTCCAGTTCCATCTCCTGTAGGCTTACTGTACCATGTCATATTCATTGATGATTCTACAAGGTATAGATCTATTTTCTGGAAAAAAAATCAGAAGACTTTGATACCTTTAGAAAATTAAAGGCCATAGTGTAAAATAAAACTGGTTTGAAGATAAAGCGGTTAAGGTCAGACAATGAAGGAGAGTATAAAGACAGTAGCTTCAAAGAATTTTGCGTAAACAACGGGATCAAGATGGAAAAAACAGTTCCTATGACACCACAGCAGAATGGCGTAACGGAACGCATGAACAGAACTTTAAATAAACGAGCCAAAAACATGAGGATACATGTCGGCTTGCACAAGTTCCTATGGGCTAAAGCTATCAATACCGCAACTTACCTAATCAACCGCGGACCCTCAATTCCCTTGGACGGTGGAATACAAGAAGAAGCTTGGAGCAGAAAAGAGGTAAACCTTTCACATTTAAGAGTTTTTAATTGCATCTCTTATGTACACATAAATTTTGCTGAAAGAAATAAACTTAATATCAAATCTAACAAATGTGTTTTTATTGGTTATGGTGATGATGAGTTTGGTTACCGATTTTGGGATTATAAAAATCGGAAGATCATCAGAAGCAAAGATGTCATATTCAATAAAAATATGATGTAAAAAGACAAATCAACTGCAGAATCAAGTAGCTCCAGTACAAAAGTTGAAATAAAGAAATTTACTGAATTTGAGGAGATTTCTGAAAATGATGTTCAGACTAGTCTTAAAGTAGTTCAAGAAGAACCAAGCACGCCAAAAATGAGACGCTCCTCCAGAATTCCTAAGTCAATCCAGCGTTATTCACCTTCTTTGCACTACTTGTTGATGACTGACAATGATGAACCGGAGTGTTATGATGAAACAATGCAGGTGGAGGATCTGCTATGCAAGATGAGATAGACTCGCTTATATCAAATCAGACGTGGGACTTAGCTGAATTACCACCAGGTAAGAAAGCTCTTCATAACAAGTGGATTTACAGAATCAAAAAAGAGCATGATGGAAACAAGCGCTATAAGGCAAGATTGGTTGTCAATGGTTTTTAGCAAAAAAAAAAGGTATTGACTATAATAAAATTCTCTCCAGAAACTTACTACAATCAGACTGATGTTGAAAATTATAGTTGCTGAGAATTTACATCTTGAGCAGTTAGATGTAAAAATAGCTTTCCTTCATGGCGATTTGAAGGAGGAGATCTATATGAAGCAACCAGAAGGCTTCATAAAGACAGGCAAGAAAAATCTAGTATGTCGTTTGAAGAAGAGCTTGTATGGATTAAAACAAGCTTTCAGACAGTGGTACAAGAAGTTTGACAGTTTTATGGACAGCAACGGTTTCACTAGATGTCAAGCAGATTATTGTTGCTATCTCAAAAGATTTGATAATAGCTTTATTATTTTATTATTATACGTTGATGACATGCTTGTTGCAGGTTCAGATCTGCAAGAGATTATAAATTTTAAGTAAAAATTGTCAAAGTACTCTCTAGGTTCGTAATAAAAGATCTTAGCGCTACAAAGCAGATTCTGAGAATGAGGATCAAGAGAGACGAAATCTAGGACTTTGATGTTATCACAAGCCGAGTACATCAACAAAGTACTCTCCGGGTTCAATATACAAGATGCTAAACTAGTGAATATACCTTTAGATGTTCATTTTAGACTTTCCAAAAAGCAGTCACCGAAGACAGAGGAAGAACATACACACATAGCGACGGCCCCGTACGCCTCAGCAATTGGAAGTCTGATGTATATCATGATTTGTACAAGACTAGATATTGCTCAAGCAGTGGGAGTTGTTAGCAGGTACATAAATAATCCGGGTAAGGTACACTAGGAAACAGTCAAATGGATCCTCAGATATCTACGGGGTACTATAGGTAAAGCACTTTATTTTAAAGGTGAAGATACAATACTAACAGATTATGTGGATGTTGATTTAACAGGAAATGTTGATATTAGAAAGAGCACTACTATGATATGTCTATATTCTAGGAGGTACTGCAGTGAATTGGGTCAACTATAGAAGATAGTTGCTCTCTCCACAGCTGAAGCAAAATATGTCGTCGTTACAGAGGCCAGCAAAGAAATGGTTTGGCTTCAAAGTTTCCTGGATGAATTAGGCAAGAAACAATAAGACAATGTCTTAATAGTCAAAGTGCTATTCATCTAGCAAAGAATCTGTCTTTTTATTCCAGAACGAAACACATACAAGTGCGGTATCACTTTATCCGGTCACTTTTGAAAGATAAAATTTTAAAACTTGAAAAGATCAGTGGAGCTTAAAATCCGACAGACATGTTGATAAAGACGTTGACTACTGACAAACTGAAACTGTGTTCACCTTCAGTTGGCCTGTAATAGTATCAAGACAGGGGAAGAATTGTTGCATAGATCGAGATGTGAAGACAGATTAAATCAATCTTCAAGTAGGAGATTGTCAAGATTAGTGGCTGCTCTTGTCAACAAAGACAGCTTACCGAAAGGCGAAAGGTAAGGGAGCAAGTGTCAAAAAGAAAATAAGGAAAAAAGAAAAAATGACAGGGAGCAAGAGTCAAAAAGGGAAGGAAGAAAAAAGGAGGGGGTATAAGCAGGCTAAAAACACTCATACTCTCTCCATAATGGATATCCTCAATCAGTGTATCCAATCCTTCTCAGTGTTCTTAAGAAGAGAGGCAAAATCATAGAGTGATTTTGTGAAAAAAATTCTAGAGATATTTTTCCTGTGAGTTGTGTATAAAAACACTTGTAAATTTTCTCCCCTTAGTGAAAGATCTGCAGCAGCCCGTGGACGTAGGTAATTTTGTGCCGAACCACGTTAAATATGTGTGTTGTTATTCCGCTTTATTCTTTCACTTTACTGCTAATCTGGTGATAGGGAAATCTTGTGCTGTACAATTTTTCCCCAACAATGTGTTAGCATGCATCTGGTTCAAAACCATCTCCTGTTCGAACCCAGATAGCTGCCAGACCTATTAATATCAAACTTAAGCATCGAGTGGGTTGTAACAATCTAGACAGTGTCAGGCATGTATATGCACCTGAAATGATCCCACACGGATATAAGAACTTGATACCCATATGATGCTTCCTAGCTGAGCATTGTATTAACTACCAAAGGTGCTAAAGGAAATAACTCCACCAATAACTGGTTGCAGCCTATGTCAGTTTGAAGTTATTAAGTTCTGAAGCAATGAAATGAGGGTTTTTATCTTGTTTAATAACTTAAACTGTTTTGTACAAGTTTTGCTTTTATGTTGGACAGCAATGCAATAACAGAATAGCCCTTAGAGCATAAAAACTAGATAAACATGTCAAATATACTAACCTGTTAGCTTCCCCTAATGTTCGCACACAATGCCAATCATCACTATCACCTTCTTCTGCCCACACCTGGCACACACCAATAACATCTTACACCAGTCAACAGAGAATTGAGTAATATAATCTTGACAAGTCGTAATTCAAGAATAAGGAGAATAAGATGAAACAATGTCAAACCTTAATAGTGTTGTCATAGCTGACAGAAACAAGAACATCATAAAACGGATGCCATTGAACCATCTTGACATCCTGAGTGTGACCTTGCAACACAGATACGCATTCAAACTCATTACCAGGTTGCATTTCCCAGATCCATACAGATTTATCTCTACCGCATGTGGCAAGCAAAGACCCAGAAGCACTCCAAGATACGCTTTTGACCTCATTTTCATGGCCCTATCAAAGGAAGCCAATACTTTCATATTTGTTGTGATTATTGTTATATCTAACAGAGCTGAAAGCAAGTTGATTACAGAACTGCAAAAAAGAGTGGCTCAAATTTATACCTCCAATGTAGCTATGCAATCATAATCGCCACCCACATGCTCCCATATAGCAGTTGTGGCATCAAAACTTGCAGTGGCCAACAATTTTCCATCAGGTGACCAAGCACAAGATCTAACCGTTCGATTGTGAGTATCTTCCAAGATAGCCTACATTTTAAAATCCAACTATTGTGAAGAAAAACAATGACATATAATTAACTTAGGATCACTCAGAAAGGCACTTGGAAACATGATCTTCTTGAAACCCAGTACTATAGACAAAGTAAGCTTTTGAAAAGTAGAATATTGGCAGGTCATACTTCCAATTAAGACATTGACAAATATACATCTTTCACCACAAAAAGTAAGCTTTTGAAAGAATATTGGCAGGTCATACTTCCAATTAAGACATTGACAAATATACATCTTTCACCACAAAAAGGTTCTAAAAACAATAAGGGATCAAAATGTATGTCATTTGAAGCTTTTCTATAAAATAATGTCTTAAAAATGGATAAGAAAAATATACACCGTTAACAGGCAATTCTACTAAAAGCAGGTATTAATAAAATCAGAAATGACAGTAAAATTGATCAGAACAGCTATATGTTCTAAAGACTAACTTAGGTTTTTCTCAAACGTTGTTACCTCATTAATTTTTCACATATAAAATAAATGTTTGGGTACCACGTTGACCCACTCATGAATTTCAACTTTGGAACTCAGAAGAAATGACATTATCTCATATTGCATACCTTCAAGCAGATGCTGGGCGTGCACAAAAATTATTATAAACTGTTTGTTACCCGTGCGATGCACTGGACATAGTATAGTATTACAATGTTATTGGCATATTGTAATAAATTATGATTTGTGACACCCACTAAATTCATTTTCTCACTTAAAACTTAAAAAGGGTAAGAGAAACAAGTATATTAACCATTTCCAAGATAAATCACCTCGGTAATAAATGTACTTGGACCGTAGCATGCATTCATTCAAGCCATGGAGATATAAATAGTTTAGATGCCCGTAATTTTTGTTCAAATTTTGAAACTTATAAGTTTTGGTTAAAGATTCAAATTTCAAAATGAAAACGCGAACTCATTTTCATAACAAAGCTAAATTCTAATCAAGTACCCAATCAAAAAAAAAAACTAGGGAAATTGAGTGTGTATCGGACCTTGCAGGCCCAAGAACCAGAAGGTCTCTGCTCCCAGATCCTTACGGTCTTATCGCCGCTGCAAGAAGCGAGCATCGCCGGGATTACTCCGGCGCCGGTCACCGGATTCCAAGCGAGGCTCCAAACCCTATCGGTGTGCCCTTCGAGCTGCTGAATCTCTTTTAGGTCAAAGTTACCGTCTAAAAAGGCTCCAAACCCTATCGGTGTGCCCTTCGAGCTGCTGAATCTCTTTTAGGTCAAAGTTACCGTCTAAAAAGTCCATCTCCATAGATCGAAGTGGGGCCGAGCTGCTGAATCTCTTTTAGGTCAAAGTTACCGTCTAAAAAGTCCATCTCCATAGATCGAAGTGGGGCTGAATGATGAGTGATTAGGGTTAGGGTTTCCGATTTGGGAATTTGAGGAAACTAAGTTTTTTTTTCCTTTTTTTTTTTCCTTCTCCTTTCCTTGTGATCTTGTGGTTTCTGAAAGTGGAGAATTGGGAAGAAAGGACGAGAATAAAAGGTTTTGACCGCGCTGTTGAACAGTGTTGCTTCGCACGAAAAGACTATTGGCTGGAAATTTGTGGGTAAAAGTTACTGTGGGCACCCTTGTCTATTGGTTCACCGATATTTTTGATGTTTTTTCCATACATATTCTCGAATCTTAAATATTTTTAAGAGGAGAAAAATGAATATATTTGATACCAAGATAACTATTTATAAATTATCCTCGATTAAATTAATTGCCAGACAGTAGTTAATATCAACACTAGGTTTTGATTGAAATGACAGTTTAAATGTTTTTAATTGTTAATAATATTTACATAATTTAAAATTAATATATTGGTGATCATAAAAAAATATTTGTATTTTATTTTCTTGACTAGGTCCTCTTTGACAACTCTAAAACAAAATAAGTTTACGTCATGGCGGATAAAATTGACATGGACTTAATATGACTTTGTTATGTCAATATTTGGCCATAAACAGGTTTAAAACTCATCCGCTTGGCTTCTACTCAAAACTAAAGCATTTCCGAAGTAAATAGATTTTACATTTAGGGGTTCTTTGGTTGTTTTCCGGAAAAAAAAATCAGAAATGGAAAACTCACATTTCAACTCATTTTAAGAGATTTCAAGACATTTACCATATTTTTTTGTTTGTTTCGCAATGAAATCACTGTCACATCACTGTCACGTCACATAAGAAACAAATCTAGCTGTAATAGTAATAGTGTTTCGATTTCCATTTGTTGTATTTGTTTGAACATAAAAGAATAAAATGTAAATCAGCCGCAATAGTAACAGTGTTTTCAGCAATTAAATAATCTGTTTTATTCACGGTCACTATTTCAACAGTGTTTTTAGTAATTAAAAATCTATTAAAATGACATTTTCAAGTGTTTTCAGAGGTTTTGGTGTGAAAACATTTTTCTTAAAAATCTGACATGTCATCCTATGTGGCACCCTCATTTCTTTAAATCACAAAATGAAACAAACATATGATTTGAAAATCGGTTGAAACCAAAATCCTACGTAGCAAGGGGATTTCTTAAAATCTGACGTAGCGGGGGGTTTTCTCATTTTTTTTAGGGGCTGTTTGGTTCGCTAAAAAAACATGGAAAGTAAAGAAAAAGAAATATATTTTCCATAATTGGATGTTTTCTTGTGTTTGGTTTACTTCTTAGAAGTAAAAAAGAGTCATATTATTGGATGATGTGAGTGATTTTTAATGAAAACTTATTTTGAGGTTCTTTTCTTGTGTTTGGTTGGCTAAAAAAAATAAGGAAAAGACTTTCCTTGTTTAGGTTCTTTTTGAGGTTCTTTTCTTGTGTTTGGTTGGCTAAAAAAAATAAGGAAAAGACTTTCCTTGTTTAGGTTCTTTTCTTGTGTTTGGTTCATTCTTAAAATGGCTAAAAAAAATAAGGAAAAGACTTTCCTTGTTTAGGTTCTTTTCTTGTGTTTGGTTCATTCTTAAAATTAAGAAAATAGATGAGATGAGATGAGTTGTCATTATATTATTGGATGATGTGACGCATACTTAGGAAAAACAATTTCCTTGTTTTTTTAGAGGAAATGGATGAAAGAAAAATTTTAATGAGATAGGATGAGTTGTCACCATATTATTGGATGATGTGAGTAATTTTTAAAGATTGTAGTAGATGAGATGAGTTGAGGTGAGGTGAGTTGGATGAGTTGATTGATGTGACCCATTTCTTGTGTTTAGTTTATTTTTAAAAATAAAAAATAAAATGAGATGAGATGAGTTGTCACCATATTATTGGTTGATGTGGGAGATTTCTAAGGGTGAAAAATAATGGAAACCAAATTTTGTTGATTTTCATGTTTTTTTTTTTCCTTTTCTTGGTTTTTAGGAAACGAACCAAACAACCCCTTAGGGGCTGTTTGGCTGTATGTTTTTACCATGTAAAAGGATGGAAAGTGTAAAAAAATGGGTCTCAATGTCAGCTTTCATCACTTTCAATTGTTTGTTTGTAGTTGTGAAAATAGTGTAAAGTGATTTCATATGCTGATGTGGCTTGTAAAGTGATTTCATAAAAAAAGACATGATTTTAGAAGAAAGCTGACATTAAAGTCAGGAAAAAAATAATTAAAAATAATTCCAACCAATATGATTATTTGAGTAGGGACCACTTTTTACACTTTCCAAACAAACAATTAAAGTTACATTTGCAAACCAAACAAGCAATTTATGATTCCAATGGAATCAAAAACAAACAAAGAAAAGTATAAAAGTAAAATTGATGAGGTGGACAATAACTTTCCAAGTTGTGTCATAAATACACAACTTTACCAACAACAACCAAACAGCCCCTTAGCAAAAAAACAACCCCTTACACTACCAAACAATGGGTGTAGTTTAATTATCGCTTCAAAACTAAATATAATATTAAAGTTAAGAGGGCTTAAGAATGATTTGAGGGTAAAATAATAATTATGCTTTTCATGGTAATAATATCTCTAGGCTGCAGCTCATATTTGTAATATTTCTTTTTATTACATTAAGATTAAGATGTTTAATGGCGTATTTGACAGCTAAAAAAAGTAAGGAAAAATTGCTTCAAGGCCCCAAAAATGAAAATACAATGTGGCCCAGCCCCCTGTATTATTTTTCATGTGTATTAGCCCCGAAAAGGAAAAGTTAATGTGATTCTGCCCTTTTTACAATTTCCAAGAGAATTAATTCCCAAAAAACCCCAAACTACCATCTTCTTCTTCTTCTTCTTCTTCTTCAGATCTTCTCCTTCTCCTCTCATCCCCTCTTCCACCGTCTCCAACCTCGCTGGATACCTCCAACACCGCCGCCACCTCCGCCTCCCCTCGACCTCGTCGACTCCATCCTCAGTCGTAGCCCCCGCCACCACCATCGCTACCCTTCTTCCTCTTCTTCTCCTTCTCTGTCTACCCCCTCTTGAGTTTTGAGGGCTCCGTTCTCTCCCCCGTCGCCCCATCCCCCCCGAGATAGAGCAGATCTCCGTCGCCTCCATCGCCACGTCAGCCCCTCCCCTCCACTCTCTCCCCGTTGTCAAATCCTTGGGCGGGTCGGGATCTGATTCTGGCGGCCTATCCGTCGGCGTCGGAGTTGGTTAAGGGGATCGCGGCCGAGTGTGGGGTTGTTTTTGATGAGGTTGGTGGAGATCTTAGGAGTTCTAATTTGTGTTTTTTGCTTTGTTTTGGGTGATTGACAGATTAGTTTGGGGGTTTAGGATTCGGGGACGGAGGGGTCGTAGTGGGCGGAGAAGGGGGTGAGACCAGTGGAGGGGGTCGACGAGGACGGAGTCGAGGTGGGAGTTGAGGAGGGAGGGGTCGAGGCCGGGGAGGGAGAGGAGGAAGGGTTTGGATTGGGAGAGCTCCAAGGTCTGGATGCGGAGGGAGGGGAGGGAGGAGGCGAGGGAGGCGAGGAAGGAGACTGAGGGGGTGTAGTCGGGGTTGGGGTGGGCCGTGGGCGGTTGGGATTTTGAGGTAGCGGCGGAAGGTCTGGAGACGTGATTCTTCCTCTGTCGTGAAGGCATGGACGAGACGGTGTTGAGTTTAGCTGATCAAGAAGCAGACAACCACTCATAGATTGACTTTTTGGAGGGCCAGCGTCTCGTTGACTATGGAAGATCAGATCACCGCTCCTCTAGTTCTCTGATTTGAAGTCATTGCGCCCGTGGGCGGTTGGGATTTTGAGGTAGCGGCGGAAGGTCTGGAGACGTGATTCTTCCTCTGTCGTGAAGGCATGGACGAGACGGTGTTGAGTTTAGCTGATCAAGAAGCAGACAACCACTCATAGATTGACTTTTGGGAGGGCTAGCGTCTCGTTGACTATGGAAGATCAGATCACCGCTCCTCTAGTTCTCTGATTTGAAGTCATTGCGCCGCAAATGTATTTGATGCACCGCCAATTATACAATAGACTGAAATTATTACTCATAATTATGTGTTACTTTTTTAACTTTTTTTTCCAAAAGAAAAGTTTATTCTAGTAGTGTCGTGTGAGTGTGATGATACATAGATATTAGTATTTTAGTCTGTATTGAGTAACATGTTCCTTTTTGCATGAGATCAGGATAACATGTTCCATTTTGTAATTTATTTGGTAAATATCATCAGAAACATGTTAACTTTCTTTGTTCGTTTGTTAAGTTACACTGGTAACATGTTAACTTTCACAGTTCGCTTGTTAACTATAATACGTAGCATGTTAACTTTAATTGGTAAATTGATAATTATATTCAGTAAACTGTTAACTATAATTCATTATCCGTTAACTGTTATTTGTAATCCATTATCTGTTAACTGTTATTTCGGGTCATATACACGTTAATATAGTTCTCATTTAACATGTTAACTATAATACATAGCATGTTAACATAATCCGTTAACACATTAAAATAGAACTATAATACGTAAATTGATAACTATAATACGTAGCATCTAACACGTTGTTGTTAAAACTTGTTTCTCAGCCACGCTGTTGTTAAAACCACCTGGATCACTTAACATAAGTGTGAATATGTGCTAATTCTTCTTCTTCACAAGAGTTAACATGTTATCCACAAGAGTTAACATGTTATCCACAAGAGTTAACATGTTATCCACAAGAGTTAACATGTTATCCACAAGAGTTAACATGTTATCCACAAAACCCCCTGTAACTTATTGCTTGCTATGTCATCGTTAGTTAACATCTAAGCTCATATAATTAGTTAACATCTAAGCTCTTATAGTTAACATGTTAACCACAATAGTTAACATGTTAAAATAACCGTTAGTCACAACAATGAACATGTTAGCCACAAAAGTTAACATGTTATCCATAAGAATTAACATGTTATCCACAAGAGTTAACATATAGCCACAAGAGTTAACATGTTATCCACAAGAGTTGACATGTTATCCACAAAAGTCAACATGTTATCCACAAGAGTTAACATATATCCGCAAGAGTTAACATGTTATCCACAAGAGTTAACATGTTAACCATAACAGTTAACATGTTAAACACAAGAGTTAACATGCTAACTACAACAGTTAACATGATAAATATTATGGTTAAAATATTAACTATATGAATTTGAACCATGTTCACATGTTAAAGACCGCTCTTTCTTAATGTGTTAATTTTGTATAACAGCATTCACTCTATTCCCAATTGTTCGCCATGATGTAGTTGGCCACTTTACTGTAAAGAAGCAACAAAACCGTTTGTGAAACAATCAACAGATTTGGTGGTAATATCCCAATCTCATCTTTTGGTACACTATGATTCTCAATTATACTTAGGGATTAGGTAAATGTTAACAGTCAGTCAACTATAGTTTACATATATTAGGTAAAACATAACAGTTAATCTACAAAACTTAATACTTAAAAGAATAAAGATAACAATTACTCAATTATACTTATATAGAACAACTAAACATTAACAGTTAATCGGCTATAGTTCACATGTAATAGGTAAAACTTAACAGCTAATTAACAAAAATTAACATTTAAAAGAAAAAAATTAACATTTACTCCACTATACTTAACATGGAACAAATAAACGTTAACAGTTAATTTTCTATAGTTAAGTTTACATTACTAACACTGCAAAACATGATACACCACTATAAAAATTGAACTAACATAAATTTACTTTATTCTTAAATACTTCCGTTCAAATCATAAAGCAATGGCATAAAACCAAATCTACATTCTCCACAATCAAGCTCTCCTCCACCCTAGCCTTCTTCTCCTCCACCTTCTAAGACCTCGTCATCTCGCAAGCAACACAAACTCCTCATAACTCCTCACAACCGAGCTCACCATCAGATCCATGAAATAGCTAAACCCAGTATCACGTACAATCTCCTCATAACTCTCAAAGAAATCTAATACGTCGCGGGCTTGTTCACGTTCCGGTTCCCGTGTATTTTGGGAAGCGGGGCGTGACACTACATGTTTTTTTTTCACTTATAGCTCACAACTTGCTAAAAACGTCCATCAAAAATCAACACAAAATGAGAGAAAAAAGGATAGAAAGCAACTCAAAAGGATGCACACATGCAAATAGGATAAATTTGAACCCAAAAGACTTCAGCTTTTCAAAAAACAACAAGGGGCCTTATCCCCCCCCCTCACCAGCTCCGACCACCCCACCACCAATCCTACCACCACCAAACTCGGCCAACCCCAGCGATTCCAGCGACCCCACCCTATCCCTAGATTCCTCCAGATCTAGCGATTCCAGCAGAAGAAGAAGAGGCGGCGCGATGGTGGCGGCGGGGTCTACGACTGAGAATGAAGTCATAGAGGTCGAGGGGAGGCGGAGGTGGAGGAGGTGGCGGCGGTGTTGGAGGTTCCCAGCGAGGTTGGAGAGAGGAGGTGGCGGCGGTGTTGGAGGTTCCCAGCGAGGTTGGAGAGAGAGGATGGAAGAGGAGATGGGTTTGTTGGAAGAGAAAAAGAGATCTGGAGAAGGAGAGGGGTAATTTGAGGATATATTCCCTTGGGAATTGTAATTGGGGCTGAATCACACAGATTTCTCATTTTTGGGGCTAATACACATGAAAAATAATACAGGGGGCTGGACCACATTGTATTTTTATTTTTGGGGCCTTGAAGCAATTTTTCCAAAAAGTAATGAAAATCAAAACAAAAGGTGAAAAGAAATTGATTACTTATTCTTGCAATTGGATGTGGGCCCAAAAAATGAAAAGCCCCTTGTTTTTTCAAACCGTTTTGTTTTCTCAAAGGCCCTACCCTCTAAAATAATTGATTGCGGAGAGAATTAGCATGAGAGACAAAACATTTTCGTTAAATTCATTTTTATTTTTCTTTCATTTTAAAAATTCGTTTTGATTTTTTCCAATAAACCACGTGGGCTTCAGGACTTTATTTATTTGTTTATTATTTTTTGAGAGTTGGTTTTCTGGACTTTATTCATTTATCAAGATAGAAGACCCAAATGGCCTGCATTAAAGCGAAAATTACAACTCTACCACGAAAAATCATTCGAAACGAAAAAGAGGAAGAAAGGGGAAAATACAACCGATCAAATTTCAGCGAATCAAGAAGGCGATATCGATGGCAATGGCGAGAGGTCTCTGGGAAGGGCTCTACAGGGTTCTGATGCGCCGGAACTCCGTCTACGTCACCTTCGTCATCGCCGGAGCCTTCGCCGGCGAGCGGGTGGGCCCCCATCTCGCTCTCCTTCCCTCTTGATTTCCCATAAAGTTATTACTTTTAGGGTTTATTGGTTCTCTACTTTATCTGATACCTGTTTGCTAGTTTCTAGGGTTTCTTCGTTCAGATCTGAGATTAAATTATGAATGCAAATTCTATAATATTTCGGGATTCTTATGATCCGAGTGTCATTATAGCTAACAAGTATAGATTTTTATTCTTCTTCCCGTATTTTTAAATGTAATTAACGTCAATTTACCCCCAAATATCTTGATATGATCTGCTATTTAAGTTGCTGATACTTGGATCAGGATAAGATCTGATAATATTTCTGACTAATGAAAGGCACAGCCTCAAAGGGTTGAGGTATGTGAGAGATAAAATCACTGCTAGAATACAGTATTCTTATGATGAATTTAGGCTTACTACCTGTGATAAAGTTGATGAATGAAAGGACTTTGGCATATTTTGAGCACAAGTTTTTCAGTGATTTGGCAAAAAATTCCCTTTTCATTTCATATTATTTGAGGTTACTTCCTAGACTGTTATAATGGCGGATAATCTTTCAAAATGATGCCGGATAACCTATTGTGAAATCTATGCTTACATAGTGACATTTACGGGTGGCGTATCCTAAATTGAAGAAGCTTTAGAATTTTTTTTTTGTGATCTTCGCATATATTGACTTTCGCTTTAATCTATTTATTAATTTCTACCCATATTTAAAGTATGTAAAAGTTTAGGACAAGCTGGTCATGAATAAGGACATGGGGGTACATAGGGATGTTGATTGAAATCCGAAACATTTGGACCACTATGCATTTTGGATCCCTTAATGCATTTGAATATCCATTTATAACCAGAGTGTATTCAAATAGAAAATTTTTACAAACTGCATTTTATTTCAAATGTTAGTCATGTTGAAGAGTTATTAAAGTGAAAATAAGCACAAATTGCTAATTTGAATTTGATATAATTCTTATTTGATAAAAGGGAGTCTCCAATGGTCGAATTCATAGGTAGTTGGATAGCAATATTTTTCTCATCTAAATATTCTGGTTAATCAGGAGTGTAGATGCAAACTGAACTCAGATCTTATTGCTGGATTTAAATTCAAAATTTTTGAGATCCATTTGGATATCTGCACTAATTCTAACATCGAACCTAGCAATGAGATCATATAGCAATATTTGGTATATTTACACCCCTAGAACCTTGACAAGAGTTAGCAGAGTTAACTCTTCCCAAACACAAACACTACAGAATTTAGTTGTATAGATATTAAAGGGTGTTATATTTTCTGAAATCGTAGGCAAAACACTATTATAAGGCAAGATACTTTAGTAATAGTTCCTTTTCTTCGGTGGAACTCGCCTCTTGATGAGATATAGGGTTTCCTTTTATCCCTCTTCTAGAAGTGCACAACTGCTACACCTTTAACTCTTCTACCATGACAAGGCTTAGGGGTATGAACCGTGTGATATGATATGCATGTGCTAACATGGTTGTCACGAATAATAGGACGTAACACCATGAGATACTCCAATAGCTGAATATAAGTTAAATATATAAACAAAAGTTTTGATGCACATTTTTGCCTAAAGTATAGATGAGTATTGAGAACATGTGATATTTGGCCTTCTGATAAATCTATGCCTTAGTGTTGAACCAGTTTCTTTATCTAAATTCTTTTAGCTTCCCTTAACTTGTAGGCTTTAGGATAAACCTATTTCTATGGTTCTTTGGTTCCAGGAGTTTAAACTTGCTCAGGATATAAGCGTACCTTTCTGCCATTTCCTCCCTATGATTTCATTCCTTGGTTTCGCGAGTTTTAATTGGCTAATAGCCTAATACTATAGCCTAACTACTTTTCAACTTCCTTCTTTGATATATGGAAAGCCATTCTGTTGTTCATTATATCCTTTAGTAGGACTTTTTTCACCAAAGAAGATTGTAAAAGAACTATAACTTATGGATAGTCTTTTGTTAAATTGTTCATGAAATCTTGTGTGTAGACGATCCATTGTGAAGCATAGATGATGATATGAATAAGAAACATATGCATGACTTAAAAAAGCAATATAAATAATAAACATAATCATGACTAATACAGGCATAAAACTCTAAACTCTTAATTATAAAAACTCAATGACAAAAGGTGTACTAGCATACTATTCATTACTATTCCTAAATCTATCATCAAGATTCCAAATTAATGCACTAGCATCCAACAGCTTTTTTGTTATAAAAGATGTGATTCTTACTTTTATTTACAACCAGATATAATATACTACTTCCACGGATTACACTGAAATCGTTAAGCCCATACTTTAGTACGATTTAATTTTATGACTACGCATCAGTCATGTGTAACAAGTATCTGAGTGCCAAGTATCCAATGCATATTCAAATCATTAAGCCCATACTTCCACGGATTAATTATAAATTGCCAGACAAATTTTGATAGGTGTTTGCAACCTGTGTAACGAGTATCTGAGTGTCAAGTATCCAATGCATATTCAAACAGGTTCTGGCTCCTTTGAGAGGTTGCTTCGCCTCAGCAAATTTTCATCTGCATCAAATTAGCCATCTGGTATTAGTATGCCATAAGGCATTTCTACCGTATAGGTATCGTTTAGTAACAAATTTCTTGAGCAAAGATGTGTAGAGACGCGAACCATCTTAGTCATTACACAACCTTAAGTCTGGTCTTGTTTACATGCATAGTGGCTAGCAAGCAATACCTCAGCTACTATGCATCTGCCTCTTGAATGTTGCCTTTTTATTTGAGCATTCGGTGTTGGCTGAGGATGAGTTAGCAGGTAATCATCTAGCGTGCTACCTATGTTTTAGGCTTCGCCTGCTGGAGCTCTGAACCATGATAACATGCATTAGTATGTACTGACCAATCATACCCTGCATCGGTGTAACCTGGATGACATCATCGGCAATCGCTTTAGAGGGGTTGGGCATGCTAATTATTGTATGCCTTAGATAAGCCAGATGATACGAGTTTAGGCCTACAGGTAGCACTACTCTTCTGGGAACATAAGACGCCTATCAGGAGAAAACAGCCAACTCTAACCCCACTCTTCTTAAGTCTTGCATTTTCGGATTTATAAATGAGAATCTTTCTTTATGCAGTTTCTCCTATAACTATATTGCTTGCTGTTGGCAAAGCAAAAATCCCACAGTGCTGGGGATGTGATATACTAAAAACTACTGTTACGTGGATATTTCTCACTTGAGGTGCTTTATTTGAGTACACTGTATCTTGTCGAGAATGCTATGTGCATTTATATGTAGAATATTCCATATTACAAGAGAGATTATTTGGTTGGCTGCTAATTTGGTTTATGGTTGCAGGCAGTAGATTATGGAGTTCACAAGCTATGGGAACGCAACAATGTCGGGGTAATAGTTCCACATTTGCCCACATACATTTTACACTACATTTCCGCATTCAATGTATTGTAGAGCAGAGCCTTGTTTATGAATCCCTCCTTTCAGCAGATCGTTTCTAGCTGGCTCATGTTGCTTGACTGTGACCTAGAACTAGGATAATGCGGCCCATCTCCAAAGAGATCTTCCCATCAAAGCTCTGGTTTTGATGTTGAAACTCTTATGCCTGATATCTTTTTTGATTCAGTGTCCTCCGTCTTAGAATTAGGTGTAATTGCAAACAGGCACCCTGTAGTATCACCCAGTCAGTTCTATTTTTGCAAATAGATCCACTGAGTGAATTTTTTACTCTAAAAATCGTTATAAATGTTTGAGGAGGTGGGTAAGACCCCCTATAGTTCTATTGGTGAGGATAAACGTTAATTACTAATTTTTGTTGACTTTCAAAAAGAATTGAAAAAGTTTACTAAAGGGGAGTATTCGCACCTTGGCCAGTACTAAGGGGGTCTATTTGTAATTGGGTGATACTACAAGGGGTCTGTTGCAATTAATCCTTGAACTAATAATACATTTCTCCGTTACGAGAGACCTTATCTTAATGACAGGCTATGTATGCAAGTTCCATGCTTGTGTCATATGCACATCAAATTCCCCATCTTCCCAACCACAGAGTACTAAATTTCCTTCTTTACAAAGCATAGTTCATTGACATTAATCTTCTCTGTTTTCTTCAATGCAGAAGAGGTATGAGGACATTTCCGTGTTGGGCCAAAGGCAGTCGGAGTAATGTTGACAGAGATTCAAATCTCAACTGATTTTGCTTTACCAAACATTTAGCACGCTTTTCTGGAGTTTGTATTGTTTAATAAATATTTAAGAAACTTTTGATGTCGTCCTTTGATGATCTGAACTTTTGTTCGCAGTTTTGTTGATTTATGAGGCTTGTGATTACTTATTTCGCTGGCTAAACGCGAAGAATCGAAATAAACATGCATCATTTTTTATGGATCGCTTGGTATTTTGTTAGTGTTGAATCTTATAATCATGGCCCTGTGATTTTGGTGGATAGAGTACGGATAGTTATTGGCCAATCTCCTGAAAAAAGGCCTTCCTACACTATTTTATTTAAGCATTATCTACTCCTATATAGTTTTAAGGGAAAAATGTGTTGGGGCCTTAAAAGTAGAAAATTCATATGCTGCAGCCCCTCCTAGTTTTCCCAATATGGTTCAGCCCCTTGAAGTGTGACAGTTTGTGCTGCAACCCCTTTTTAGCAATTATTACATGTCAGCTAAGCTAAAATCTCCAAAATATCTTTATTCCCTCTCCTCAATCCCTCAGACCCAACACTCATATCCTCTCTCTCTCTCATCTCCTCTCTCTCTCTCTCTCTCTCTCTCTCTCTCTCTCTAAAACCAAGGGCTTTCTCAAGCTCGTCGTCCTGGCCCTTACCCTCCTCGACGTCACCGCCTCCGCCTAGGCCCCCAAGGCTCCCCTCGAGTTCACCGTCACCTCCCCTCCTCTCCTCCGCCCAACCTCGTCGTCGTAGCTTGCCGTCGCTCCCTGCCTCGTCCTCGACTACGTCGGAGTTCACCTTCCTCTTCCTCTTCCTCTTTCTTCTTCGTCTTCGTCACCTTCCTCTCCTCTAAATATATCAAGCAGCACTTCCTTCAAGTGCATTAGTTCTTCCACACTTTCAAAACCTTCACCTATGAAAGCAAATAATGGTTTTGTTCCAGCTTTTGGTGCTGGTTTCTTGTCATAGGTGAAAGATTCTAATGGCTTGAAGTTTTCAACTCCAACCTCAACAAGATCATAAACATGATGATCATACATACGTCCAAGGACTAGGTTGTGGAGCCGCTTCTTAGAATGGGAACCAAACTGCATAAACCAAAACAAATTTACTACTTAAACAAAATGGAATATGGAAGAGACATTTTTGCATGACTAGCAGTTTTTTCCACTCTCACAGATAAATAACATGATATGTAACCTAACGAATGGTAATAACTACACGTGCATGTGATCATAGACGAATTAAGCATTGCAGCACATGTAAAAGAAGCGTGCATGTGATCATAGACGAATTAAGCATTGCAGCACATGTAAAAGAAGCAAATGATAACTCAAGCAGAAAGATAAAAGAAAAACAGACATGTAAAAGAAGCAAATGATAACTCAAGCAGAAAGATAAAAGAAAAACAGAGGAAAAACAACTTCAAGGTATGATAAAGTTGTTTCCTCGCCCAACCACCACGTCATCCACGCGATCCTCAACACCTTTGAAGAAGAGGAGACCTCCTCGATATGTTCAAAGAAGAAGGGGGAAAGAGCAAGAGGAAGATGACGAAGACGAAGAAGAAAGAGGAGGAGGAGGAGGCCGCTACGGTTGCTCAAGAGATTAATTCTTGCTTCTACGTTAGTTCTAGCTTCTATTACCCTAATTCTAGCTTGTATACAGCCAGTTCTAGCCCACACCTTGATAGTTCTAAACCCAGACTTCGTATTTTACTTTCACACTTATTAATTCTTGCTTCTACGTTAGTTCTAGCATCTATTACCCTAGTTCTAGCTTGTATACAATCAGTTCTAGCCTACACCTTGCTAGTTCTAAACCCAATCTTCGTATTTTACCTTCACACTTGTTAATTCTTGCTTCTACGTTAGTTCTAGCTTCTATTACCCTACTTCTAGTTTGTATATAGCCAGTTCTAGCTCACTCCTTGCTAGTTCTAAACCTAGACTTCGTATTTTACCTTCACACTTATTAATTCTTGCTTCTACGTTAGTTCTAGCTTCTATTACCCAAGTATTATGTATTTTACCTTCACACTTGTGTAATAGAAGCTAGAACTAGGGTAATAGAAACTAGAACCAACGTAGAAGCAAGAATTAACAAGTGTGAAGGTAAAATACGAAGTCTGGGTTTAGAACTAGCAAGGTGTGAGCTAGAACTGGCTGTATACAAATCAGAACTAGGGTAATAGAAGCTAGAACTAACGTAGAAGCAAGAATTAACAAGTGTGAAGGTAAAATACGAAGTCTGGATTTAGAACTAGTAAGGTGTGGGCTAGAACTGGCTGTATACAAGCTAGAACTAGGATAATAGAAGCTAGAACTAACGTAGAAGCAAGAATCAATCTCTTGAGCAACCGTAGCGGCCTCCTCCTCTTCCTCTTTCTTCTTCGTCTTCGTCGCCTTCCTCTTGCTGTTTCCCCCTTCTTCTTTGAACATATCGAGGAGGTCTCCTCTTCTTCAAAGACGTCGAGGATCACGTGGATGACGTGGCGGTTGGGGGAGGAAACACCTTTATCATACCTTGAAGTTGTTTTTCCACTGTTTTTCTTTTATCTTTCTGCTTGAGTTATCATTTGCTTCTTTTACATGTGCTGCAATGCTTAATTCGTCTATGATCACATGCACGTGTAGTTATTACCATTCGTCAGGTTACGTATCATGTTATTTATCTGTGAGAGTGGAAAAAAACTGCTGGTCATGCAAAAATGTCTCTTCCATATTCCATTTTGTTTAAGTAGTAAATTTGATTTGGTTTATGCAGTTTGGTTCCCATTCTAAGAAGCAGCTCCACAACCTAGTCCTTGGACGTATGTATGATCATCATGTTTATGATCTTGTTGAGGTTGGAGTTGAAAACTTCAAGCCATTAGAATCTTTCACCTATGACAAGAAACTAGCACCAAAAGCTGGAACAAAACCATTATTTGCTTTCATAGGTGAAGGTTTTGAAAGTGTGGAACTAATGAACTTGAAGGAAGTGCTGCTTGATATATTTAGAGGAGAGGAAGGTGACGAAGACGAAGAAGAAAGAGGAAGAGGAAGGTGAACTATGGCGTAGTCGAGGGCGAGGCGGGGAGCGGCGGCGAGCTATGGCGACGAGGTTGGGCGGAGGAGAGAAGAAGAGGCAGCGATGAACTCGAGGAGAGAGCTACGGCGACGAGGTTGGGCGGAGGAGAGAAGAAGAGGCAGCGGCGAACTCGAGGAGAGCCTTGGGGGCCTAGGCGGAGGCGGCGACGTCGAGGAGGGCAAGGGCCAGGGCGACGAGCTTGAGAAAGCCCTTGGTTTTAGAGAGAGAGGAGAAAGAGAGAGAGAGAGAGAGAGAGAGAGAGAGAGAGAGAGAGAGAGAGAGGAGATGAGAGAGAGAGAGGATATGGGTGTTGGGTCTGAGGGATTGAGGAGAGGGAATAATGATATTTTGAGGATTTTAGCTTAGCTGGCATGTAATAATTGCTAAAAAGGGGTTGCAGCACAAACTATCACACTTCAAGGGGCTGAACCACATTGGAAAAACTAGGAGGTGCTGCAGCACATGAATTTTCTGTTTTTGGGGCCCCAACACATTTTTCCCTAGTTTTAATGGAGAATCTAAAGAGTTACTGTTTATGCTATATTGAATACTACAATAAATACTGTAGTACGAATGGTAAATCAAACTTTAACCATACTGTATGGGAAATAAAAAAAATGGAGGCCGTGCTTTGCACGAGGTGCACACTAGTATGCACACTAGTATACTTTTAATGGAGAATCTAAAGAGTTATTGTTTATGCTACATTGAATACTACAGTAAATATTGTAGTACGAACAGTAAATCAAATCTGACCCTCTGCATTCAGAGTTACTCTTTTATGTTACAGTAAGCTCCTCCATACTTAAAGTTACTATTCATGCTACAAACCAAATGTAAAAAAACTTGAATTTTTATTAAGTATAGAGGAGTACATATAATTTCTAAAATCAAATGTATTAAAATTTAGATTCTTTTTTGAATACAGAGGAATAGATATGATTCTAATTTTAAGTATACAATAATTAAATCAAATGCATTAAAATTTAGTGGGAGGCAAGTTCAAAATGTAATGCTTAAAAAACTAGGGGGTCGTGATTTGCACGGGGTGTACACTAGTTTCTATACTATAAAAGAAAAAAATTGTAGGGTCCAACATTTTTTAAACATTTTTTCCCTTTGAGAGGTAGGCCAAATTACCAGATTAGTGATTAACTCGATTCTATTTTCTAATATAGTAGTTATTTCCGTTGTGGCATCAATGTGATATTCAGCTTGATTTTTTTAGCACTAAGTTTTTTTTCCTTGACAGCGGCAAGAGTTTGAGGAGGGGGGGATTAAATTTTTAAGGATGACGAGAAAAATTACAATCCATATTTACTCCTCTATACTTAAAGAAGGATCCAAAGATTTACTGTTAACAGTAAATACTATAGTAAATTACTATAGTATGAACATTAAATCTTTGGTCCTCCTGTAAGCATAGAGAAGTAAATTTACTGTTCATGCTACAGTATTACTGTATCATGAACAGTCCTCCCCCGGAACCGACACTTGTCCCATATTAACTAAACACCAGATAGGTATCACCCTATGCAGGATGACTCGGGTAACGTCAACGCTCAACCCCTCCAAAGAGGGGATGAGTCGAAAGGTGTTTTTACTCGAAACCAGCTATTAAGATCGACTCCACGTCTCTTCATTCTATAAGATGGGGTCGAGAACTTCCAAGTCCGTGATGGCCCGAGTAAAAAGGCGTCATTTATGACCCTCTCATAAGGCTGAGAAGAGAGGCAATTTGGCCTCAAATTTCTTGCTAACAATCTATCACCATCACATTAAATGCAAGGTCAAAATCATCAATACTCCAGCCCTAAAAGTCTTAATGACTCATCGGACCTCATCAGCACCGTGCTTCCCTTGTCACCATCACATTAATCGCATAGGTGATTCATACCATTTGCAGTCGACTGCCGACTAAGCTGCCTGCCGACTAAGCTGCCTGCTTGGACCTGATCGAAATTATGAAACTACCCTCCTGAACTGGATATAAATAGGCACACTCTCTATTACAGGAGGGTAAGCAATCTCTTGTGAATAAATACACAGCAATCTTACTTTTTTCTTCACTCAAGCTCACCATATATTGACTTGATCATTGGAGGAATCACCAGAGATTCCAACTCCGATCCTCTCACATATTTATTTGTGTGCAGAACTGAATCCTCTGCTCTATAACCAACAATCAAAGAAGGTTGAGGAACCCTAACAAACCAAAAATCCACACTAAATTTTCATGTTTGATAACTGACATCAACAAGGTTGATACTTGAGCATAAATAAATAATATATTGAAAAATATGGTCAAGTTAGAATATCAATCTAGTAATTTATCCGTGAGAGCAGTGTAGAAAAATATAGTATGATATCACCCAATTGCAGATAGAGTATTTTAGACTTCCCAAATTAATAAACCGTCTAGGGGTTACTGAAGAAAAATCCCAAACTTAAGGGGAATTTTCTGAACGGACAAATTTTCAAAACCGACCCTTTTGGGTTTTTAATTGCAAAAAACGACCGGTTTTGAAAATATTTACAAAAAACGACCTGCTTAGCTGAAAACAGGTCGGTTTTTTTAAATTTTTTTGGGAAACTTCACGGGAGTTGAACTCCCGTGAAGTTTTTCTCATAACAAAACTTCACGGGAGTTGAACTCCCGTGAAGTTTGGAAAAAAAAATTTCAAAAACCGACCCAGTTTCAACTAACTGAGTCGGTTTTTATAAATAAAACTGAAATAGGTCGTTTTTTGCAATTAAAAATCCAAAGGGGTCGGTTTTGAAAATTTGTCCTTTTCTGAACTCTAAACTTAACAAGGGAAACAGTTTTTAAGTTGATAAAGGAATTATCTAGCAATTGAGCGAGATTATGCGGGTCTTCTGACATTACCCATTAAACTTACATACAGTTTTGAGGGGCATCCCGTTAAAGTTCGAACAAATAAAATGTGATTTAACTTGAAGGACTGTATTAAATTATAAAAGGGGTTTTTTAGATACTAGGCCTTAAATCTTTAATAATTATGTATTAGTCCCTCAAAATTTTGAAATTATATACTTGTACCCAAATCTCATAGGTTCGTGCAAAATGGTCCCTCAGTCAGTTTAAAAACGTAATTATGGTTGGGTTAACTCCTAAGTCAACACCTGCAACAATCAAGCTATCCATGTCTCTTATGTTTTAAACTTTTGTGAAGCTCAAGTTTGGGTTAGAGTTCTTTTATAACCATTGGAGAAGAAGAGCTCAAGTAAATTTGGATTTTTTTAAAGTGGGTATTGGGTTTAAATCCATAAAAAAAAAGGTTGGAGAATATGATAAAGGGGAAAACAGCCACTTTGCCTACAATAGTTAGATTTGATAGAACAATCCTACTAAATCTAACATTATTTATTTAAAGGACCATTTTGCAGGAGCCTATAAGATTTGAGAGACTAATGTATAATTTGTGAGACTTGAGAGACTAATATGTAATTCTTGAATATGATAAAGTGGAAAACGGCCACTTTGCCTACAATAGTTAGATTTGATAGAATAGTCCTATTAAATCTAAAGTTATTTATTTGAAGGACCATTTTGTAGGAACCTATGGGATTTGAGGGACTAATGTATAATTTCTGAGACTTGATAGACTAATATGTAATTGCTGAAGATTTAATTTAAGGGACTAATATCTTAAAAAAACCCATTATAAATACAACTGTACTTTTCAGTCAGAGCAACACCCCGCAAACCCTAGCGTGTCGTCGTCGGCAGAATCCAACTAAAAACTCAATTGAATCATCTATGAGGTAAATCTTCTTCTAATTTCATAAAACGAAATAAAAACCCAATTCTTTTTTTCCCTTCCTCCTGATTTAAAAAGCGGAAAATAAATATTCCATAAACATTCTCTCTACTTCTTTTTGATTTCCCATAAATAAACTGTTGAATAACTGATTCAAAATTTGTTATTAGGTTGTTATTTTGTTAGTGGAGTTGTTGCTAATTAGTTTAGATTTTTATGGTGATTAAGTTGTTTTGTAAGCCTATATAAAGGCACTTTTAGTTGATGAATAATATAGAAAAATATTATCTCCTCATCTCCTCTCTAATTTCCAACATAAACAACAAGAACAAATTTTTACTGTAGACCAAAACCAAGTTTTAATTATCAAAATCGACCCTTTTTTTAAGGGAAAAATGCTTCCAGCCCCCAAAAGCCAAGTGAACGTGCTTCTCACCCCCAAGACTTGGTCAATGGGTGTTTTACCCCTAAAAATAAAGATTTTGTTCTCTGAGCCCCCAAAACACAAAACCCAAGACATTAAAACATGTGAAGACCATAATACCCTTCTCTCTCTCTTTCTTTTTTTATTAAAATATAATGATGATTATTTTATTATTTTTATTTTCTCTCTCTTTTTATCATGATGTACCAAGAGGATAGTTGAAATGATTGATGAGGATTATTTTATTATTTTTGTTTTTTATTATTTTGGTTGTTTGTATTGGAAGGTTGTTAAGGTTACGGGTTGGTTGTTAAGGTTAAGGGTTTGTTGTTAAGGTTATGAATCCTCTCTCTCTCTCTTTCTTTTTTTATTAAAATATGATGGGGATTATTTTAAAAATAATAAAAAACGAAAATAATAAAATAATCCTCATCAATCATTTCAACTATCCTCTTGGTACATCATGATAAAAAGAGAGAGAAAACAAAAATAATAAAATAATCCCCATCATATTTTAATAAAAAAGAAAGAGAGAGAGAGGGGATTCATAACCTTAAAACAAACCCTTAACCTTAACAACCAACCTGTAACCTTAACAATCAACCCGTAACTTTAACAACATCCCAATACAAACAACCAAAATAATAAAAAACGAAAATAATAAAATAATCCTCATCAATCATTTCAACTATCCTCTTGGTACATCATGATAAAGAGAGAGAGAAAACAAAAATAATAAAATAATCCCCATCATATTTTAATAAAAAGAGAAATAGAGAGAGAGAGGATTCACAACCTTAACAACAAACCCTTAACCTTAACAACCAACCCGTAATCTTAATAATCAACCCGTAACTTTAACAACCTCCCAATACAAACAACCAAAATAATAAAAAACAAAAATAATAAAATAATCCTCATCAATCATTTCAACTATCCTCTTGGTACATCATGATAAAGAGAGAGAGAAAACAAAAATAATAAAATAATCCCATCAAATTTTAATAAAAAAAGAAAGAGAGAGAGAGAGATGATTCACAACCTTAACAACAAACCCTTAACCTTAACAACCAACCCGTAACCTTAACAATCAACCCGTAACTTTAACAACCTCCCAATACAAACAACCAAAATAATAAAAAACAAAAATAATAAAATAATCCTCATCAATCATTTCAACTATCCTCTTGGTACATCATGATAAAGAGAGAGAGAAAACAAAAATAATAAAATAATCCCCCATCATATTTTAATAAAAAAAAGAAAGAGAGAGAGAAGATTCATAATCTTAACAACAAACCCTTAACCTTAACAACCAACCCGTAACCTTAACAATCAACCCGTAACTTTAACAACCTCCTAATACAAACAACCAAAATAATAAAAAACAAAAATAATAAAATAATCCTCATCAATCATTTCAACTATCCTCTTGGTACATCATGATAAAGAGAAAGAGAAAACAAAAATAATAAAATAATCCCCCATCATATTTTAATAAAAAAAGAAAGAGAGAGAGAAGGGTATTATGGTCTTCACATGTTTTAATGTCTTGGGTTTTGTGTTTTGGGGGCTCAGAGAACAGATTCTTTATTTTTGGGGGTAAAACACTCATTGACCAAGTCCTGGGGGTGGGAAGCATGTTCACTTGACTTTTGGGGGCTGGAAGCATTTTTCCCTTTTTTTAATTACTAAAATCGACCCATTTTATGCAACGTAAGCTTAATCTCATTTCCTAATTAGTCGGGGTTGCCAACCCCGACTGTTTAGGAGTTGTTAAACCCCAATTAGAAGTCTTAAACCTAATTTTTATTGCCCTAAACAGTCGGGGTTGCCAACCCCGACTAATTAAGAAATGTGATTAAGCTTACGTGGCATAAAATTGATCGATTTTGTTAATTAAAAAAAATGGGTCGATTTTGATAATTAAAACTTGGTTTGGGTCTACAGTGAAAATTTGTTCTAAACAACAATTGAAAAATTGCAGGTACTGAGAACCCTGGCACGCATGGCGAGCTTGAACCCATCACAAGATGACGGCCCCGACAAGAAACTGAGAATCACTGCAAACTTCAAGAACAATCTGCCCGTCTTTTTCTTTTAAATTTACTAAATTGTTTGACGATTCTGATAATTATGGTTTTAATATTATGATATTTCCTTGCACAGACTGAAACTAAAGCTGAAACTTGCTGCTCATGGCTTCTACTGCCACTTGACATCATGGCTGACATTCTCTCAAGACTACCTGCGAAATCTATTGCGAAATTCCTCTGTGCCTGCAAGCAATGGCTCTCTCTAACTCACGATGCCCGTTTCCTGAGATCACTGCACGCGAGATCCGCGAGCTACGTAATTATTGATAAATACATTGTTAATGGTAAAGTAGAGCCGTATGATTTCAGTATCGGCGATGGAGGAAAACCTAAGAAGATTTCCTACACATTAAATCTTGGGAGCAACTGTTATAGGTTATCAAATTTTGTTGATGGCTTAACTTTTGCTTATGGTGGATCTTTGTTTTCTGATATATACTTATTAAATCCTATGTCGCGGGCACTTCGGAAACTTCCAAAGAACAATGGTCCTCAAGAAGGCTATTTTATATGAAAGTTTTGGTCTAGGGATCAACATGATTATGGGGCAGTACAAGATAGTTAGGTTATCATCTCTCAGGGTATGTCCTGCTCAACATCCTGTTTACCATGGCGTGAGATCTACACTGTGGGCACTGCAAAATGGAGATGCCTTGGTGAAGCTCCTTTTGGAATGTGGTGTGATTATAAGCCTGTTCTCCTTCATGAAGCCCTTTACTGGATTGCAGGAGGTAATCATCAAGGGGAAGAAAAAATAGGTCTTTTCAATTTCAATATCAAAGATGAGAAGTTTAATTTGGATCAGCGATATCGCTACCCTATCCCAGATTATTCTCTCACATGTCATACTCCTCTTTGAAGGAGTCTGGGGGGGAAGCTTTGGCTTACATTCAGGAATCCAACTGAAAATTACTATGAGATATGGACTATGGATGGTAATTTGAATAGTACATGGGTCAAAGAATATAAATTTCATAACAATAACCTCGCAAGTTTTCACGAGGGTTGTGATGATGTTATGGAAATTGTAGATGGTGATATTCTCTTTAGGTTCTACGATGGAAAATGGCATGTAATTTCTTATAATCCTTGTAATGGAGCTTCACTCAAACTCGTCCTTGGAGGAAACCAAAGTGATTTTGCTTTTTACAAGGAAAGCCTTATTTCGCCAAAAGCTGTCGAAGGTATCTCAAAGACGTAGAAAACAGGGCGGAGGTGAGTCATGCATCGAATATATCTGGGAGGAATTCAGTTGTGATATAGGCATAATGCACACATGAGGAATTGGACACCGTAAACAAAGCTTTGCTTAGAACTTTTACAACGTATTTTCACTAGAGGAATTGAAAATTATCTAATTTGCAAGTTATTATGCAGTATGTTTTGGGATTTCTTGTTCGCGCCTTTAGAATTGTTTATCTGTATCTATAAAAAGTTTGCAGTTCGTATGCAGAGAAGTATGTGGAGCCATTGATTTAATGACTATATTATTGATTGTAGTTTTTTAAGTCAGATTATCCATCTTGTTGGCTTTATGTGCAACAGTTCATGCACTGAATGTATGTTGGTGTATCGCTTTTTTCCCCCAGAGGTATTATGCAAAATCTCTAGTATTTGAAATTTATTTTCCCTCTTATTAGATTAGCCTATTAGTTAATAATTTGTTCTGATCTATGTATATTCGCAGAAGTTCTCTCTCTCTCTCTCTCTCTCTCTCTGCTAAATCATACATATACTCTATGAAGCTACTTTGAGATATGGACTATGGAAGATTATTTGAATAATTCATGGGTCAAGCAATTTAAATTCCACACCATCAGCCTTTCAAGTTTGTGCAAGGTAACGATGTTACAGATATTGTAGATGGTGATATTCTCTTTAGAGTCTACGAATCTGGACAAGTTCATGTCATTTGTTATAATCCTTGTAGTGGAGATTGGCACAAACTCATCGATGGAGGACAAACTAACTATTTTGTCTATTACAAGGAAATCCTAATTTCACCAAAAAAAGTTGTCAAAGGTATATTAAAGATGTATAGAGGGGTGGAGGTGAGTAATGCAACCAAGGAATGGAGCACTGTCTAATTTGCAACTTGCAACTTTTACAGTATACATTGGAACTTGTTAATTTTGCCTATAAAATTGTTCAGCTTTAAAAGTTTACTTTCATCGATAAGAAGTTTTCACATCAGTAGAGAATTGCGTGCAATCATTGATTTAATGACTATATCAATCATCGTCAATTTAGTAAGTAATAGTAGCTGGAACTTGTTAATTCGTGCCTATAGAATTGTTCAGCTTTGAAAGTTTACTTTCGTCGATAAGAAGTTTGCACTTCAGTAGAGAATTGCGTGCAATCATTGATTTGATGAGTATATTAGTCATCGTCAATATAGTCAGTAATAGTAGCCAGAACTTGTTAATTTGTGCCTATAGAATTTTTCAGCTTTGAAAGTTTAATTTCATCGATAAGAAGTTTGCACCTCAGTAGAGAATTGAGTGCAATCACTGATATGATGAGTACATCAGTCATCGTCAATTTAGTAAGTAATAATAGCCAGGACTTTTTAATTTGTACCTATAGAATTGTTCAGCTTTGAAAGTTTACTTTCATTGATATGAACTTTGCAGTTCAGTAGATAATTGTGTGCAATCATAGATTTGATGAGTATATCAGTCATTGTTAATTTAGTAAGTAATAATATCCATCTTCTTGGCTATATGTGCCTGACATCTTTCTCTTCTTAGATTAGCCCATTAGTCAATAATTTGTTTCTCTGTTTATTCAAAGAATTTACTTATGAGATTTTGGTTAAATTAAATTCAAGATTAATTTCTGTAATAGGCTTTCTTGAGATTGTATTGTGACCCCTACTTTAATTGATGATGACGATTATTAGGACATCGACGAGATATGAATATGCCGAAGCATATGAAATGCGATCCTTTTATCGTTCAATTTCTTTTTCAGTTGCTTCCTTCACAAAAAGAGCTGACATGTCTGTATGCTATTATCCTTTTTACTAATAGTTCCTCTACTTTTGCTACTTTATTCTGCAAAACACCATGACTAGAGAAGAAAAAGAAATAGGCTAGTTGAGCATTGTGAAATTCTGCATCTTAAAGTTTTGAAGTTCTTGAAATGAGCAAATCAGTTTCGTTTCATGTAGGTCGATCAAGCTACATGTAACTAGTTTAAATTGATCGCGTTTACATACATAACGGCTAGCACGCAATTTCTCAGACAACGTGCGTTGGTAGTTAAACTTACCTTGCATGTATTTATATTATAAGCTTGTAATTCAGGACCAAGATAACATGCATTAGTATGGGCTGATCAATAATTCCCTGCACCATCAGTGTGACCATGATAACATGCTGATTGCTTTATGCCTCAGACAAGCTAGCACTACTTTCTGGGGTACATAGCATATCTAATAGGAGAAAACAGCTAACTTTAACCCCTCTCATGTCGACGTTTGAATTTTCTACATGAATGCTTGACGATTGGACAAGGTTTACCTGACTGCAATATCTATGTTCAGCATGCTATGTCTATGTGTATATACTACAGGAGATAATATTTGGCCAGCTGCTAATTTAGTTTTATGATTGCACGCCGTAGATTATGGAGCTCACAAGCTACGGGAACACAACCATGTCGAGGTAATAATTCCACATTTGTGCGTATACATGATACGCTACATTTGTTATAGCCCCTCATACAGATTCAATGTACGGTAATTACCTTGTGGTTCACTGTTTATTATGTGGAAATTCTCTAAAGATAATGGAGCCCCCGTCTTCAAAGAGAATAGAAATCTTGCCGTCAGTTTTGGTCAATGTTTAAATTTTGTTTCGAATTACTAAACTCTGATCTGTGTTTTTCCTTACTGCAGAAGAGGTATGAGGACAGTTCTGTGCTGGGCCAAAGGCAGTCCGAGGAATGTTGACTCAAATTCAGACCTCAGTTGAGAGCTATATCTTGAATTCTCCTTTACCAAATATTTAGCACATTTCTCTGGAATTTGTATTGTTTCATAAAAATGAAATAACTTTTGATGTTGTCTTTTACGATCTGATATTCATCCACTATTTTGCTCACTTAAGAGGTTGGTGGTTACTTTTTTCACTTGCTAAACTCAAAAAATCAAAAATAAACATGCATCACATTATCGGTTTTTGGTATTTTCTTATTGCTGAGTTTTAACGTCATGCTGCACTATTCTTCAGAATCGCTCTTTAGGTTATCAATTACGAAGTAGATTCAGGCTGCAGCATTTGTTATGATTGCCAATGTTTAAGATTTCAAGTTGTTTTGTCCTTGCTTTGAGGATACACAGCTTTATTTTTGCCGTAAAACACTCGGAAGGCATCACACAGTTCACTCTTGTATTTTTTGTGGCCATGTGTTGCTTTTTTTTGCACGATTTTCATAATTTTTCAGCGCATCGGGTATGCTTAATAGGCTACTAAGGTTTTCCTAAATGGTAATTTTTTCTCTGTTGATGCTTAGATTCAAAAAATTAAACATTTTCTGGAAGTACAGCGAAAAAGAAGTGTAGTGTTAGTTTTCTTTTCTGCTTGTGAGGTATGCTGCTGATGCCGCCCATGAATCTTGCATTTCAGCTAAAATTGCAATGTAATAACTCAATTTGCTTGTTATGCTTAAAAATATTGCATTTGTGCACTCGTTGAGAAGACTAACTTGTAAGTACGAAATACTTTTCCAAAACCTGAAATTCCAACGAAGACCCCATGAATTTGGTGCAAACACAATTCACATTCTGTAGATTTTGTACACGTTGATTGGAAATTTGTATATATGATGAGGCTCAAATTTGAAATGATATTTTTTGCAAATTTTTAATTTTCTAGAGTTGTTAGTAAGTTTATATATTCATTTTAGTATCTATAGGTTAGAAATTCTCATGGTGTTTTTTTGAAAATTTTAAATTTTAGGATTTTTTGTAAGTTTTTAAACTTATAGGCCATTTCTACATATTGTAAATTGTTTATACACTATTTATAATTCCTTTGTTTTTAATTTACTAATGAGTTTGTAATTCTAAGGACATTTTTTTTGTAAAATTTAAAAATTGAGTTTTGTTTTAATTTTTGAAACTTTAAGGGTGCGTTCTATAAATTATAAATTATATAGAGGATATTTGCAATTCTTATATTTTCAATGTAAGGTTGGAAATTATCAGCATTTTTATAAATTTTATAATTTTAAGCATTTTAATTTGTAATTTGTAAAAAGTTTAGTGTTTATTGCAAATTTCATAACATTTTGGGGTTTGTTTGTGTTATTTGTAGGTTTTTAGTGTGTTTATAGGTTTGAAATTTTTAATGTGTTTTTTACAAATTTTAAATTTTTAGTGGTGTTTTTACAATTTTTAAAACTTATAAGATATTTTCTTCAAAGTCAAAAAACTTTTAGTTTTTAGTTAGGATATGTTTTTTTTCAGATTTCCCACTAAATTAAAATAAGTAAAATTTATAATTTTCAATGTGCTTTTATAAAATTTTAAATTTGTAGGGGGTGTTTTTGCAATTTAAAAATCTTGGAGGATACTTTTTACAAAGTCCAAAATTTTTTAGGTGATGGCTAGCATATGTTTTTTCTGATTTCTCTATGATAAGTGAAGAATTTGAATTAGATCAAACGTATCTCCTTTATCGAATAACATGTTAAATATTATTATAAATATGATAAATTATTAATTACCAATTCAAAGAAAATAGAATAATTAAAATAAATTAGGATAATAATATAATATTTTTAAAAAAAATTAAGTGTAATATTTACGGTGAACAGGTTTTCTTTGAGTCGTACGGTTGTAAGATATGATTATATCTGGTTACGTGAGTCATTCATCGTATTAGTTTTTCGGTTGATAAAATGTGATGGGGTTAATGAGGCTGAACTCGATGGTAGGGCATCACCCTCGCGGCAAACCCTAGCATATCGGCGTCGCCGGAATCGGATTAGAAACTCAACCTAAGCGGCGCAGGTAAATCCTTTATTCTGATTTCATAATCCAGCGAGAAACTCAAATCCAGTTAGAAATCATATACACCTTTTCTCTCTCCTTCTTCTGCTTAAAAAAAAAAAAAAAAAAAAAATAAAAAAAAAAAAGAAAATTTCCATGCCTTTTTCTTTATTTCTCTCTTCTTTATTTAGAAGCTCATACAACAACAATTGATGGGGTAACATCGAACGCTCTTAAATACCTAGGAAACATGGCGGACAAGAAGCGCATGGACACATTACAAGAGGAGGTTGAGGTTGACCCAAAAAAGAAGCAAAGAATCATCAATAGCACTCGGGTATTATTCTGTCGTTTTCGTTTACTAAATTCATTTTGGTAGTTAAACGTCTGAAATTAAAACCATGCGCGCGCGCGCGCAGCCTGAATGGAATTTTGGAACTTGCTGCGGCTTATGGTTTCTACTGCCACTCGACATAATGGCTGACATACTATCAAGACTACCTGCAAAATCTGTCGCCAAGTTGCGCTGTGTCTGCAAACGATGGCTCTCTTTAACTCATGATCCCCTTCTCTTGAAATGGCACCAGGAGAGATCTTCAAGCTATGTGGTTGTTGGTAAACGTCTCCGTCATGGAGAAATCTATAAATACAGTAATATTGGAGATGGGGAAAATTCTAAGGAGATTTACTGTAAAGTTAAACTCGGGAGAGTCTACTATCAGTTATCAAATTTTGTGGATGGTTTGACTTGTGCTTATGGCTTTACTGGTAAATCTGATTTGTACTTACTAAATCCCATGACTCGGGAACTTCAGAAACTCGGAAAGAACAGTCGTCGTCGAGAGTACTTTAAATATGAAAATTTTGGTCTCGGTGTCGACTTGACTATGGGGCTTTGCAAGATAGTTAGGTTGTGTACTTGTTCTGATGACCGTCGTGTTGTTCAGTGTGAGGTCTATAATGTGGTCACAATGCAATGGAGATTCCTTGGTGAAGCTCCCTTTGAATTATTCAACCATTCTAATTCAGTTTTCTTTCGTGGAGCCCTCCACTGGATTGGATGTTTACCAGGAGATGGATATCAAGATCAAGGAATACCAAGTATTTATAGATTCAATATCAAAGATGAGAAGTTTGAACCGCCAATATCACTCCCATGTCCGCCATCCCCTGATATGCATTTGTGTCCTGATTTTGGTTTGAAGGAGTTAAAGGGGAAGTTTTGGCTGTTTTACTTGAGCTTTGACCGGACATACTGCGAGATATGGACTATGAAAGATTATTTGAATAGCGCTTGGGTCAAAGAGTATAAATTCCACAGCAACAATCTTTTAAGTTTGCTCGAGGTTTGCTGTAAGGAAATTGTAGATAATGATATACTCTTTAGACCCTACCAATGTGAATCTTTTGCATTTTACAAGGAAAGTCTTATTTCGCCGGAGAAGTTGTCGAAGGCATCCAGAAGACGTAAAAAGTAGGTGGAGGTGAGTAACGCATCAAATGTATCTGGACAGTTTTTATTCAGATCACGCCCGAGGAACGAAAAACTGTCTAATTCATTCTTAAAAAGCTTGGATATCATTTTTTTTTAATTTTTGCATCATATTTTGACCGTAGGAATGGAACACTGTCTTGTTTTCAACTTCTGCAATATATCTCTTGTTTGTGCCTATAGGATTGTTCAGCTTTAAGAGTTTTTTTTTTTTTTTTTGGTCAATGAAAAGAGTATATTCATTTACCAAGTAAAGAGTTTATGTACATCAAAGAACTCATTTACATGAGAAAACTATATGGCTCCCGTGCAAACACACAGGGAACACTCAATTAAACTACTGTAAGAGAACAAAACATCCTATAAAGATAAACTCCATTCCTTGAATTCAGGCGAAAGGGAGCTGTTATTTAGGATGACAGTCAGCATCTCAATTTTAATGCTTCTGATCAAAAGAGCTGCATTATGTACTTTCTGCTTGAAGATTCTGCTGTTTCGCTCCTTCCATATACAGTACACTGTAGCTGCAAGTGCCATCCTTTTGGTTCTTTGCTTAAACCCCTTCCCTTTCAATCTGCAATTATACCAATCCATCAGCAGATTCCATTCACATGCTCTCCATTTGTATTTTAGCCAATCCATGACCCCATTCCAAACCTCCCTTGAGTAATCACATTTAAAGAAAAGGTGGTCTCTACTCTCTGTTTCAGCTCCTGCACATAAACTGCAGCTATTAACTTGGATAATTTCTCTTTTTATCAACTTGTCCTGTGTAAGAAGCCTATTCTGGACTGCAAGCCACAACACAAAAGAGTGTTTTGGGTAGTTGAGATTCTCCCAGACAGTGCTATGCCATTGTACTCTAGTTGTTATCGGACATAGGCATTTATACAAACTAGAGAGATGTACTTTTGGAGCATTGTAGCAAGAGTTGATTAACAACTTCAGATTTTCAGCACCTCCATACAAATTTAACATCTTATCCCTGACCTTTAAAAGCTGTTTCCACATCCAAGAATCACCATTTCTCACCTCAACCTGCCAGATATCTCTGTGTTTTAAATATGTTTCATGAACCCACTTGATCCATAAAGACTCTTTGTTAATATGAATATACCAAAGAGTCCTTAGAGCAGATGCATTATTCCAAATAACTGCTGAATAAATCCCCAATCCACCGAATATCTTCCCAAGACATATTTTATCCCAAGATACTAGTGATGTTTTGGAGGCATGATCATTCTTTCCCCACAGAAAATTTCTACTCAGTTCATCAATCTTTTGGAGGACTCTTATTGGAAGTACATAACTGGAAGTCCAGAATATTTGAATTCCAAGAATGACACTTTTAATAATTTGTAGTCTACCAGCATAAGACAGGGTTCTGTGCTTAGACCAGGCTTGAAATTGGCTTGTTATTTTAGAGAATAAAGAACTGCAGTCAACATATGATAGCCTCTTGCTTATTAGAGGAACTCCTAGATATTTAATTGGAAATGTACCTTCGGAGAATCCCAACTGATCATGGATGGAGTTCCTGACTGAATTCTCCACCCCCCCATAAAAGATAGAACATTTATTTGGATTTGCTTCTAAGCCAGAGGTTGCACTGAATTTTGAGATACATTGATGTAACCTGTGCACTGAATATGGATCCCCATTGCTGAATAGGAGGAGGTCATCTGCAAATATCAGGTGGCTGATCTTAAATTTTCCACACTTAGGATGGTATTTGAATTTTCTGTCTTGTTTCAACTGGTTAAGACTTCTAGAGAGATATTCCATGCCAAGAATAAACAAGTATGGAGACAATGGATCTCCTTGTCTTAAACCCCTTTCCCCCTTAAAATATCCATGGAGAGAGCCATTGAGAGAGATGGAGTATTTCGGAGAGGATATACAGACCATAATCCATTTAATCATGCTGCTAGGAAAGCCCAGGCCAGATAATATCTCTTCAATAAAACTCCAGCTGATTGTGTCAAAAGCCTTCCTTATATCTATATTTAACATGATTCTTGGTGATATATGTTTCCTCCCATAGTTCTTAATGAGCTCATGAGCTAGCATGATATTATTTGTAATATTCCTCCCTTTAACAAAGGCACTTTGAGCCTCACTAATAAGATAGCCCATGACAGATTGAACTCTGTTTGCAATGATTTTAGAGATAAATTTGTAAAGGCAATTACAGCAGGATATAGGCCTGAAATCTGAAGGGCTTTTGGGACAAATAACCTTTGGAATGAGTGATATTGAAGTAGAATTAATTGCCCCCAGAAGTTTCCCTGTCCTGAAAAAATCTTCAATGGCCATTGTAACTTCTTCACCAATTATTGCCCATGAAGCTTTGTAGAAAGAAGCACTAAACCCATCTGGACCTGGGGCTTTGTTGTCATTGATTGAGAAAACTGCATTCTTAATCTCATCTCTAGAAATTGGAGCTGACAGTTTACTAGCTTGAGCTGCATCCAGACAGGGACCATCCTTAATGATATTAATATCAGATTTGTCAGTTGGTATAGCAGTTCCCATGAGATTTCTATAAAAAGATATCAGTTCATTCACAATACCATCCATATCTGTGATTCTGACACCCAGATTGCTGTAGAGAACTGTAACCCTGTTGTGGTGATTTTTTGCTTTAGCAATAGAATGGAAGAGGTTGGTGGATCTATCTCCTTGAAGACTCCATGCTATTCTTGCTTTCTGCTGATAGAAAGACATCTCACAGGCCAACAACTTATTATATGCAGAGATAAGATTTTTTTCCTGGTTGATATAGCTGGAGTTTAGAGGATTTTCATGCAGTTTCTTCTGAATTTCCTCTAAAGCAAATTTTGCTTTTTGAACCTGCATGCTGATATTTGAAAAATGATTCTTATTTAGGTCCTCGAAAGCCTCCTTTAACTGCTTGAGTTTTGTATTAACTGAAAACATATTATGCCCCTCAATGTGATTCTGCCATATAGCTGAAACCGTGGGGATGAATTTCTCATGTCTTGTCCACATTTTGAAGAATTTAAAAGGCTTTTCCCCCTTAGTTTCCTCATCATATATAGATACTAGTGCAGGAGAGTGGTCTGAGAAGCTTGGAAGCAAAAACTCCACATGACTAGAGTTATAAATGTGGATCCAAGAGTCATTGACCAATTGAGAAGCTTGGAAGCAAAAACTCCACATGACTAGAGTTATAAATGTGGATCCAAGAGTCATTGACCAATGCCCTATCCAATCTACTCCAAACCCTGATGACTAGAGTTATAAATGTGGATCCAAGAGTCATTGACCAATGCCCTATCCAATCTACTCCAAACCCTGGTAGTAGTGTCTTGTTTGTTGTTCCATGTGTAGAAGCATCCTGTGGTTTTTAAATGAGAGAGCTGACAATCGTCAATAAAAGAACTAAAATCAACAGTATCAGTATCAGTGAGACTAGCCCCTCCAAGCTTTTCTTCATTTGAGAGCATAGTATTAAAATCACCACATAACAACCAAGGAGAATTCCCAATAGATTGTTGAAGTGAGGATAATTCAGCCCATAGATTCTTCCTATCTTCCAGATGGTTAAAACCATATATTGATGAAATAATACAATCAACTCTTCCATCTTTAGATTTGACAATACATGTAATATGTTGAGAAGAGGATTGTGAGACCTGGATGTCTAAAACATTTGGATCCCATAGAAGAAAGATCCTTGCAGTTCCAGTATAATTCACATTAGAGATCCATTCCCAGGTTCCAGCAATTTTCCTTGCAGTGCCAGATAATTTTCCATCCTTCAACTTTGTTTCCAAGAGAGCAATAAAAGAAATGTGATACTGTACAAGATGTTGTTTGACTAAAAGTTGCTTAGGGGATTTGTTTAGACCCCTAACATTCCAAAAGATCATATTCATTTCAATTTAGTCCTCCTCTATCCAAAGTAGAGGGATCAATGTCATTTTCCATATTAATCAGTGGGGCAAAGGATAACCTAGAATTCATATTGCTTCTTTGTGTATGTTTCCATTCATTTGGAATTGATTTGATAACACTGTTTGTGACATGCACAGCATGCACAGAACCAAATTTAGAAGCATTACCATTACTCTTACCAGAAACCCTGAATCCTGGGACCATTTCATCCTCAATTGCTTGAGATAAACCCTTCTGTTTAATGTTTACATTAGTGGTAGGCAAAACGTGCACAACTTGCACAGATTCCCAATTGCTACTGCCAGAATCCTTATCTCCTGGAATGCCATCCTTCTCAATCACCAAATTCCCTGATCTCTGACATACTTCAGGGCCATTACACAATTCAGATTGCATTTTCCCATCATTACCAGACTTACTCTTATCTGGTTGTACATCAGTATGGCCAATATTCTGCTTAGGGATCCACTTTTTAACAACAGGATGTCTTCTACAAAATTTTGTATCATGTCCCAATTGCTTACAAAATTCACACCATGTTGGCTTATGCTCATACACCACCTTCTGAAAGAATTTAACTCCATCAGGCCCTTGGATTTGAATACTATCCGGCAAAGAAGAGGGCATATTTACTTCAATAAGAACTCTCGCATAGGCTAGTCTCTGTCTGTTGGCAGTGGGTTTATCCGTAGTAATGGGGCGGCCAATGATACTAGCAATCTTACTGATGCCTTTAGCATTCTATAAATTTAGTTTCAAAGCAGGCAATTGAACCCAAACAGGGTAAATACATTCCTTGGTCTTTTCAAAGTATTCACCTATAGCCCAGGGCTTCAATAATAAAGGTCTAGATCCAAAGAACCATGGACCATTTACAAGAATTTCATTCATATCATTCTGGTTCTTGAATTTGAAGAGAAACAAACCAGCTTTAAGAAGACAGATCTCAGGATTTGCCAGATTAGCCCATACTTTTCTAACAAAATTTTCCATAGCTTTATACTTAGCATTCAACCCTAGAACTTGTCCAACTAGGGAGAATTTCCAAATTGAAGCTCCTTCATTCCATTCTTCATCATCAAACAACACTGTATCATCAGTCTTTGATGGAAAATAGTTCAGATCTAAACCATTTCCAGGCTTCCTATTATCAGTGAATAAGATCGCCCAGGATTTATTTGTGTTTCCATCTTGAACTAGTTCATCTCCAGATTTCTCACTAACTGGAACCAAATTAACATTCCCTTGCTTTTCAGATGATTTCAAAGAAGAATCCAATGGAACAGTGGAATTTCCCGACTCTAGGGGATTCTCAGTTTTTGAATCAGCAATCAATGAAACATGATTAAGATTTCTTGAATCATAATCAAGATCATCAGCCCAAGATCTACTAGTTGATCCATTAGTTCTATCAAAAGAAGGAGGAGACTTACTCAGATCCCGATCTTGAGAAATAATTCCAGAAGTCAGATTCCGATTCTGAGCACTGCTAGCAGCCAGATCACGATCCTGGATACCAATGCCAGCAGCTGAATCAAGAATCTCAGACATTAGCTTCTTCTTCTTCTCACCCCTAGGTCCAGTTGAACCCATAATACCTGGGCTGAATTCGTCATCATCTTCATCAATACTGGTATCAAATTGATCATCAGGAAGAAAGCTCGAAGATGACGCTCGAAGACCGATGGTAAGGATCTTCTTCCCGCTAGATTTCTTCTTCTTTGCCATTAATCTCTCAGCAGAGGCGCAGGTTAGCAGAGCGTAGATCGCCTGCTAACTAACGCCATATCCCGCTCAAAACAACTTGGATTCCACTTGTTTGCTTAAGAGTTTATTTTTGTCTATAAGAAGTTTGCAGTTCATGTAGAGACTTGTGAGGAGTCACTGATTTGATGAGCATATCACTCGTCCATTGTTAGTTTTGTAAGTCATAATATCCATATTCTTTGCTTTGTGTGCAAAAGATCTTGGAGTACATGTGTGTTTGGTGTTGTGCGCCGCGGAAGTCCCAAATAGCCAAAACAATAGCACACACAAGAACAAAATAGATCACAATGCACACAAGCTAACCAATCACAGCAAGAACACAAGGTATACGTGGTTCGGCAATGTGCCTACGTCCACGGGGCAAGGAGGGGGGAGTTTCACTAATCAAATCAAAGGGGAATACAAATTAGGGTTACAAATCTTACCCAAAACCCTCAAACAAGATCACTTGATCTCTCCAATAGACTCCAACAAAAGAAGCCCTAGAAAATCCCCTTTGGCAGCTCAAAATCTCCCTTGCTTAAAACTCTAGAACAGATTTGGGGTTTATATACAAGTTACAAAGAAAACGGGTCTGGAAAACCAACTTAACCCCAAAACCCGATAGTCGGTCGACCGCAGCACCACTGCCGGTCGACCGTAAAATATCCCGAGGTCCAGTCTGCTCTCTGGACAATTCGCGGTCGACCGCAGCGCTTCGTCCGGTCGACCGCCCAAATTCCAGAGGCACACTAAGAGTTGTGTGCACATATCGGTCGACCGCAGCTCCACTGCCGGTCGACCGCCCAACTTCCAGAGGCAAATCTCTGACTTTTCACCAACTCTACAAACTTGTGCACCTCGTTTCACAAGATATACTTATCGATCCTCATGTGCAAAGTGCACATGATTGTGCGCAAGCTCAGGTTCCTACAAAAAACAACTTTGATCAACATATCAGCAGGGTTATCCTTAGTGTGGACCTTCTCCAACGTGACATCACCATCATCCAATACGTCACGTATAAAGTGAAATCTGACATCAATGTGCTTCGTGCGTGCATGGTAGACTTGGTTCTTCGCTAAATAGATAGCTGACATACTATCACAATGTACCTGTATGGTCTCCTGTGCAATCCCCAAATCATCCAACAATCCATGTAGCCACAAAGCCTCCTTCACTGCTTCAGTCACCGCCATATATTCCGCCTCCGTAGTAGAAAGCGCCACTGTAGACTGAAGAGTGCATCGCCAACACACCGGTGCACTTGCCAATGTAAACACATAACCTGTAGTGGACCGACGCTTGTCGAGATCTCCAGCATATTCTGAATCCACGTAGCCAATACAATCCTACCCTGTCTCATCATTCTTCGCAAATATCAACCCAACGTCCACGGTACCCTTAATATATCGTAGAATCCACTTCACGGCCTCCCAATGCCCCTTCCCGGGGTTGTGCATGTACCTAGATACCATGCTCACGGCCTGTGACAAATCTGGCCTCGTACACACCATAGCATACATCAAGCTATCCACTGCACTGGCGTATGGAACTTTGGACATGTAGTCCCTATCCTCCACTGAAACTGGTGACATCAAAGCTGAAAGCTTAAAGTGGGGAGCTAATGGAGTACCCACCTCCTTGGTATTACCCTCAAAACTAAATTTCTTCAGCATTTTCTGCAAGTAACTCCTCTGTGTAAGTTTCAATCTCCCCTTCACCCTGTCTCTCTCAATCTCCATACCCAGTATCTTCTTAGCTTCTCCCAGGTCCTTCATCTCAAATTCTGATGACAGCTCCTTTTTCAATTTCCCAATAGCTAAAGTGTTTCGGGAAGCTATGAGCATATCATCAACATACAATAACAAATAAATGTGCTCACCATCCTGTAGCTTGCGCATATAAACACATGGGTCATAAGGGCTCCTCGTGTATCCTCGGCCAATCATAAAGATATCAAATCTCTTGTACCACTGTCGTGGTGATTGCTTCAGTCCATAAAGAGATTTCCTCAATTTGCACACCAAATTTTCCCTTCCTGCAGCTTTAAACCCCATAGGTTGTGTCATATAGATCTCCTCGTCTAAGTCTCCATGTAGAAAGCCCGTCTTCACGTCCATTTGGACCAAATCTAAGTCCAGCTGTGCCACCAATGCCAATAGTATCCGAATCGACGAATGCTTCACAACGGGTGAAAACACCTCGTTGTAATCAACACCTTCAAGCTGTGCATATCCCTTGGCAACCAATCTGGCCTTATATCGAATGTCCCCAATAGAAGAGCCCTCCTTCTTAGCATACCCCCACTTGCAACCAATAGCTTTCTTACCCTTAGGTAGCTGTGCGAGTTCCCAAGTGTCGTTCTTCTGAAGAGATTGCATCTCCTCCTCCATAGCATTCCTCCACCTAATGGAATCAGGGCTGGACTCTGCCTCCCTGAATGTGGCAGGAATAAGATCATCAACGACCTCTACCGATAAAGCATATGCCACCATGACATCATCATATCTCGCTGGCCGACGAATCTCTCTCCTCGGTCTATCTGCTACAATGGACCCCTGAGCATGACCCTGCTCCTGAGCCTCACCATCCAGCCAACTGGAGTGGGTGGAGTCACATCATCCTCCACCTGCTGCGATATCCCTCCTGTCTGATCTTCCTTCACCTGCTGAGGAACTCGAGGCTTCATCATGTACGCCTCATCGAATGTGACATCTCTGCTAATGATCATCTTCTTGTCTTGTGGATCCCATAATTTGAAGCCTTTTACACCTTCTCTAAATCCCACAAAGATAGCCTTCCTCGCTCTCGGATTCAACTTCCCATCACTAACATGGAAATAAGCTGGACACCCAAAAATCCGAAGAGTCTCATAATCACTAGCCACAGAACCAGACCAACGCTCCAAAGGAGTCTTCCCCTCTATCGCAGTGCACGGCAACCTGTTAATGAGATGGCTAGCATAAACTAACGCCTCGGCCCAAAAAGATCTAGCCAATCCACTCTGCGTCATCATACATCGCACCTTCTCCAGCAAGGTACGGTTCAGCCTCTCTGCCACCCTATTCTGTTGCGGTGTTTCTCTAACTGTGAAATGTCTTCTAATGCCGTGATCCCGGCAAAACTGCAGAAATGGATCACTCTTGTACTCTCCACCATTGTCTGAACGAAGAGTCTTCACCTTTCTACCTGTCTGCAGCTCCACTTTCTTCTTCCACTCCACAAATATATCCAGGACCTCATGTTTATGCTTCATAGTATATACCCAATTCCTCCTGGAATAATCATCAATGAAAGTGACGAAATAGTTTGCCCCACCAAGCGATGTGTGCTTAGAAGGGCCCCAAACATCTGTATGAATATAGTCTAATATACCTTGGGTGTTGTGAATTGCGGTGCCAAACTTCACTTTAGTCTTCTTCCCAAGTATGCAATGCTCACACAGCTCCATTTTGCAGGTCTTTGCACCTTTCAATAGCCCCCTGTTTTGCCAATGACTGAAGGGACTTTTCACCTGTGTGTCCAAGCCTCATGTGCCATAGTGTGGTAGTGTCCTCCTCTGTGGTAATAGAAGCAGCCAGACCCCCTGTAACTGTCTTGCCCTTCAAGTAGTATAGGTTGTTTTCCCTGACACCTCGCATCACCACCATAGAACCCTTCATGACCTTCAAACTAGCATCTTCTAAGATCACTCTATAACCGGATGCCTCCAAAGTCCCAAGAGAAATGAGGTTCTTCGTCAACTGCGGCACGAACCTCACATCTTTCAATTCCCTAGTCACCCCATCATGCATTCTGATTCTGACTGAGCCAATCCCACTAATAGGACAAACATGATTGTTCCCCATGAGCACCACGTCTCCTCTCTTCAACTCCTCAAAATTGGTAAACCAATTCCTCTTAGGGCAAATATGAAATGTAGCTCCCGAATCAAGCATCCACTCCGTAGAGTCGGCATAACAAACTGATGGCAGTGCGGGACAAGAATAACCGGAAGAATCCGAATCTGAAATGTCGCCAACAACCTTAGCAACATTCACCTCTGAAGCTTGTACAGCTTTCCCCCTTTGCTTCCCGGCTCTATCCTTCAACTTTGGGCACTCATTCTTCCAATGTCCCTCTTCTTTGCAAAAGGCACATTGATTTCTACCAACACTTTTATGGCCACCCCTATTCTTTGATTTTGAGCGATTGAACTTTTGACGGTTTGGAGCACGGCCACGAACTGCAAGTGCATCACCTGATGCCTTCTCGGAGGGCTCACAATCATTCTTCCTCAGCTCATAATTCACCAATGCCGAGGTCACCTCCTTGTAGCTAACTGTAGTTCGCCCATTTATCATAGTGAGAACAAAGGTGCTAAACTCATCATCTGGCAATGAACACAACAATAACATCGCCTTGTCTTCATCCTCCACCATGATATCTACATTGGCCATATCCGAAATCAGCTTTGTGATGTCGTTAACATGCTCCCGAACGAAAACTCCTCTCTTCATCTTGAATTGGTAGAACCTCTTCTTCAAGTGAAGCCGATTCTCAATGCTCTTTGTCAAATATTTTTCATTGAGCGTTTCCCACAATCTCTTTGCCGAAGTCTCGTTCATCACATCATAAATGAGATCCGGTGTTAGGCATGACCGAATAACCCCACAAGCCCTACTGTGCATTTTCTTCCAAACCCTATCATCAATCTCCTCGGGTTTCTCTTGAAACTCAAGAGTCTCCTCCAAATTTTGTGCATCCAAGGCGTCCATTACTTGACACCTCCATAAACCGAAGTTAATCTTGCCGTCGAACTTTGGGACATCAATTTTAGTGTTATTGATGCTCAAATTTTGGATCGCCTTTCTCAAAGCCGACCCCGATGGACTAGTAGCACTTGAGCTAGCCCTGCTTGTATCACCCATATTGTAGATCTACTCTTCAAATAAGAATCCAACGGTGAATCCTTCGAACAAAACTCCCAAATCCAACCCGGAGCTCTGATACCACTTGTTGTGCGCCGCGGAAGTCCCAAATAGCCAAAACAATAGCACACACAAGAACAAAATAGATCACAATGCACACAAGCTAACCAATCACAGCAAGAACACAATGTATACGTGGTTCGGCAATGTGCCTACATCCACGGAGCAAGGAGGGGGGAGTTTCACTAATCAAATCAAAGGGGAATACAAATTAGGGTTACAAATCTTACCCAAAACCCTCAAACAAGATCACTTGATCTCTCCAATAGACTCCAACAAAAGAAGCCCTAGAAAATCCCCTTTGGCAGCTCAAAATCTCCCTTGCTTAAAACCCTAGAACAGATTTGGGGTTTATATACAAGTTACAAAGAAAACGGGTCTGGAAAACAAACTTAAACCCAAAACCCGATACCGCAGCACCACTGCCGGTCGACCGTAAAATATCCCGAGGTCCAGTCTGCTCTCTGGACAATTCGCGGTCGACCGCAACGCTTCGTCCGGTCGACCGCCCAAATTCCAGAGGCACACTAAGAGTTGTGTGCACATATCGGTCGACCGCAGCACCACTGCCGGTCGACCGCCCAACTTCCAGAGGCATACCTCTGACTTTTCACCAACTCTACATTTGGTAGGTCACTTTTCTCGAGAGTTATTATGCATAAATCTTTAGTATTTGAAAGTTTGTTTTAATTTTCTTAGATTGGTCTCTTCGTCTATAATTTGATCCCTATATGTATTCATAGAATTTATTTATGAGATTGTTGGGCAAACTAAAATTTTCATGATTCATTTCTGTAATAGGTTTTTAAAGGTAATATTGTGACTGTGTAGTTTAACATGCATCTACATGCTTATCCTATCTCACTAATAGTTCCTCTTCTTTGCTACTTCACTTTATTCTGGAAAACTCTTGACAACTATGCTACGCGCATTCTTACATGATCACTGCACGTCACGAGTGCATGAATCCACATAGCATAGTTGTCAAGATAGTACATTGCTCGAATGCACCTAATAATTACATGAAAATGCATGAATCCACATAGCATAGTTGTCAAGATAGTACATTGCTCGAATGCACCTAATAATTACATGAAAACATTGCACGAATGCATGTAATAAGTGCATAGTTGTCAAGATAGTACACTGTTACGTGCAGTAGATTATGGAATTCACAAGCTATGGGAGCACAACAGATGTCGGGGTAATAATACCACACTCGCACAGGTAAACGATTGCATTACATCGGTTGGAATTCTCTTCTAGATTTAATGTATTGTAGAGCAAATCTTGTTCAAGGATCCTTCCTTCAGCATATCGTTTCTGGCTGGCTCCTTTGCCAGTGTATTGCTTGGGCGTGATTACCCTGTGCTTGTCACTATTACTACATGAAAATAATAATATAATGGAGGTCGTCTTCAAAGAGATCTTCCAATTTTGATGTTTAAACTGTCATGCCCCTGCATCTTTGGCTCTCAGATGTCTTCCGACTTAAAATTGGAAGTGTAAATTGCATATGACCCCCCTCCCTGCATCTTTGGCTCTCAGATGTCTTCCGACTTAAAATTGGAAGTGTAAATTGCATATGACCCCCCTCATGCATACCTTCAGTAGCGTCCAATACCTCTCAACTTGTTTGTTAGTATATATAACTAGCAAAAAACCCTCGCGTTACGCGGGGAAAATGAAGAATGCATACTCACTACACCATGATAATTAAAATGTCCTGGAGAAATCTAGTAACAACACACACAGTAACCTTCTCGATCTCAAATTCACAAAATTCACCACCACAATTTGAGAACTCGAAGTAGATGATCCTATATTAGCACCACCACAAGCAGCCGATATCTAGAGTGGCGAGTTGCCGACATTGCCTAGGAAGCAACTGAGAGAAGAACAATTGAAATCATAAGATTAGCCAAGAATTCAGATGAAAGCTTAAATCTAATCCCAAGAGGAGACTTGCTGCTATAGAGCGTGAGAGCAAAGAGAGAAAGAAAACAAAGTGAAAATGGAAAAGAAAAATAAGTAAAAATCGCTCCTTTTAGGGGTTGTTTGGTTCGTTTCCCATGTATTGGGAAATACAATTCTATGTAAAGAAACCCAAGTTTTGGGTTTTCTAAACTTTTTCAAGAAATATATTGTTTGCGTTTGTTTCACACATAAAACATGATGAAAAACCAATGTATACATTTTTTTTTGTGTTTGGTTGGCATTAAAAAAAGGGGGGGGGGGANTATGAATTACGTACCTGATTTGACATGAAAAATACCTGTTTGACAAAAAAAATCCCACGAAACATATAATAACATGATTATTTTAACTGTTATGAACTACACACCTAATTTGACATGAAAAATATCTATTTGACAGGAAAAGATCACATGAATCCTGTAATAACATGATTATTCACAAATTTATGAAATACGCACGTGAATTTGCGAAACTTTCTTATGAGACCTGTAAAACCCTATAATCATCTTGATTAGTCATAAATGTTTATATGACATAGAAAATCACATCAAACTTGAGTAGTCATAAATATTTGTTGATATCACGTAAAATATACCAGCCACATGTTTATGAATTCTATGGCTGAGAGCTCAGAACTTAGTCAATATCATCATTGTTAGCTATCCAATGCAATATCAATAAACATTACAGGTTGCTAATCTCAGAATTTTTTTTTTTGAAGTAAAAACAAGGGTTATACCCTGTTCATTAATAATCAGAATTATCAAAAGATAGTTCAGTACAAAACAAGGACACGAACTGTGTCCATATGTTGCTAATCTCAGAATATTTGACAATCATCATAGCTTAAAAGTAAAAAAGTCACCAACTAAAACTCATGACGTAATAATATTTTCATTAATAACCCACAACAATAGCCATCCAATACAATGTAGATAGATTGTAGGTTGCTTACATACAACTTTTTTTAGTTGTCATGTATATGGTGACTTGTAAAGTTCTTACAAACACAAGTTCAATGTAAAATTAGTATTCTACAATCATCACATAATGTTGGTAAATATGCACATGAAACCATAGGTTTATAGTTGAAGCACAACTAAAATCAAAGTCATACAAATAATTACAAGTTTGTACAAGTTTGTTGAGAAGCTGAGAGAATGGCAAACAAAACTTCTAAACTTTAGTAAGAAAAAAACATTGGGACATGTAACAACTATCATATGATAAATCAAATGAATGACAATAACTAATAACATAAATTTTAAACCTAGTGACTTGCGTATAAAATTCTGGATTCCTCATCCCATTCTTTGAAAGTTACCATACATGGGTTATTTTGAATATTGTTTCGGTTGCTACATGGAATACTTAAAAATGAGGAACTTTAGGTGTAAAATGCAGTTAATTGGAACATAATTCAAGCTTGGTAATGAGATAAATATTGTAATTCATGTATGGTACAATTAATTAATATGAGAAATTCACAAAAATAGAAAGAAGATATCCAATAGTGCAAAGATAATTATACCTGCTGGATCACAATTAGGAAGAGATACAGAAGGAACTCCACTGAGAAATTTTCGTTTGCTAACGTAGGCCGATGTGCTACCTGCAAAATTCATGAGATCTTACAAAATTAAAGCAATGATGAACTTCAGATGCAAATATGCAATGAATTGGAAATAGCTTCAAGCTTGATCAGAAAATGTAGAAAATGAAATGCATAATTATTACTGGTTGGCTAGGATAATAAGCCAATGTGTTGCCTTTCAAAAATTGTATTATTTTAGAAACAAAGAATAAACACAAAAAATAGGAATAATGAATTGCAATTGAGAAAATAACCAGACCTATTTGCTCACCATTAGGTACAGGTACAGAAGGAACTCCATTGGGCAAATCTTGGTTGCTAACATTTGCTGTTAATTCACTACGTGATGGATGGAATGAGAAGGAATAATAAAAATTAGCACCATGAACCATGTACATTAACAAGGTGATCACGTATAAACCTGTGATATATGAAAAAGAGAAGTTCATTAAGTCCAAACTGAAGATACTGGCTATAACCAAACTTGGGTACTTGTGGCTTAGCATGTATAAAACTGTAATTCAATCAATAATAAAATCATGGAAAATAAAACTATTATAAATGATTAATTGGATTTGTATAGAAATTAACAACTTTTACACACAGAAATGAGGAGTTTTACATTCTTTATTCAAATTTCAAAAGTAACTGGATCTTTGTGTAAAAAAACACAGCTCCCAATTATTCCTCTGCGTGTTCATCTTCTTCCTCTCCTCACATTGCAACCCATCAAAGAACCCATTATTTGTTCTTGATTTACCATTGAAAAATCAATCAAGAAAAAAATTACAGTTCATAGATCTATATGGTGGAAACATGCAACCGACTTTGAAATCATCAAATATCACACCAAATTCAAGTTAATTGAAAGGGAAAAATAAAAAAGTGAAAGAAAATTGAAAGGAAACTTGAAATAATAGAAAAAGGTGAAATTTGTTTACCTCGAGCAGATGTATTCTCAAGCAAACCATGGATGCGGTGATTCTTCTCCGACTTGAAGCTAGCAACGGCGGGGGGAGGAGAAGAGGTCGAGGAGGTGGGAGACTACGTCGAGGGGGTCGTCGAGGTCGGGGAGGGCGAGGGAGGAGGAGGGCGAGGGCCGGAGGGGGTGGCGGGGTCCACGACTAGGGAGGCTAGGGTTTGGGGGGTGAAGGTGAGGGAGAGGGAGAGGAGGTGGTCGACGAGGTGACGGCAGAGGTCGGAGGTCGACGAAGGAGGGGGAGTTGCCGACTAATGTAGGGGATGCATCGGGAGGAGGAAGAGGCCGGCTTGCCCTTCTGTTTTTATCCAGAAGCCCAAGACTCAAGTACGAATCAATAAATCCCAACCACTCCCTCTTACTGCCCCTCACCTAGCCCTGTTCCTCATCCCGTCAGAGAGAAAAAAACAACCAAAGGGTAAAAGAGGTATCAACAGTGAATGATGAAAATTGGCCTAGACCCCCTAAAATACCCTCGGGTTCAAAACAAAATTTAGATGTTAAAATTGAAAATAAATTGAAAAATGAAGGTTAAATCCGGAATTAAAACGAAAAAGCCATCCAGCTTTTAGACGATGTATTTTATAGTTCTATATTGTCATTTTTTTAAGGATAAACTAATAAATAAGTCAGCAGGGTTAAGTGCTACCGAAAATATAAATGAAGGGACTATCTAAAATTTACCCAAATAGTAAACCTTGCTTCTTTTAAGGGACCTGCTTATTTTTAGGGTTATTTGCATATATGCCCTTTAAATCACGTATATTTGCAAAAATGCCCCCCACTACTCAGTCTTTATAAAACTGTCCCGCAAATATACTATGTACCCAGTAATGTGTATTGAAGGATTTCTATTATGATGCAGACATAACACACCTAAGGAAGGAAACATTGTCTAATTCATTCTTAATGTAGAGAATGTAACACTTTCTAATTGGCAACTTATGCGGTATACGTCTTTGTTTGTGCCTGTAGAAGCGTTCATGAGTTTACATGATCATCTGTAAGAAGTTTTGCAGTTCATGTAGAGAATTGTGTGAGTCATTACTTTGATGAGTATATCATTCGTCGTTGGTTTTCCAAGTCTTGATATCCATCTTCTTGGTTTTGTGCGCAAGTGACGTCGCACTGCATGTGCTTGGTGGATCACTTTTCTCGAGAGCTATCATTCAAAATCTTTAGTATTTGAAATTTTGTTTTCGCTCTTCTTAGATTAGCCTCCTAGTCAATAATTTCTTCTCTATGTATATTCGTAGAATTTACTTATGAGATTGTTTGGTAAGCTATAAGTTTTCATGATTCATTTCTGTAATCGGTTTCTTGAGATAATGTCGTGACCCTATTTAGTTTTTCCTAATTCTTCCTAATTATTGGGTGAGATGCTTAGTTGCATGACTTTATTAGTTGGATGCGGGTGACTTTTTTTTTTTTAGATAGCAACTGTAGTTCCATGATTTGATGGAACTGTTCAATATTGGGGATAATGCTTTGATGCTAGTTATACATTTACTTATCAAGTAGTTTGATATGTAATTCTTATAATGCCCGTAGTTATTATTATTATTATTATTTAGGAATTGTTAAATGCAAGTAGAGATGTTAATCATGATCAATGCAACAAAATTTTCCCAAACAATTGGATAAATTATTAAGGTGAGTACATTTATTCTCATGAGGTATTTTTAAATATTTAATAGTAATATATATTATGTAAATAATAACATAATACATGATTTTCACTAGCGCTTGTTTGGATATCTTAAGTTTTAAATTTGATGTTACTAACTTAACAAGTTAATATAAAATTCAAAGATGATTGTGGTTCACTAAAATTTTATTTTATTTTTTATTTTACCTAGAACTTCACATAGGTCCCTGGATTGAACCTCTTATTAATCAAGAGAAACAAGATAAAATGAGGGTTATTAGGCTGAACTAGGGCTGTCCATCCGGGCCGGCCCGGCCCGGCCCGGCCCGGGAAACCGGGCCCGGGCCGAGCAAAACCCAAGCCCGGACCCGGGCCCGGGCCTGAGCGGGCCGGACACCGGGCCGGCCCGGTTTGATTTTTTTTTAAATTTTTTTTATTTTTTTTATTTGTTTAAAATTTTAACAAAACCATAAATCATAAATTATTATAAAAAATGTCATAAATTTAATTAATAACTTGAAATGAAATGACATAAATTACAAGTACAAAAATGATAAAAATAACTTCTTTATTAATAATCGGTAAATCCTTTACAAGTATAAATTTATTTCGAAATTCGTCGCATCACAATAGATGAGTACATCCCAACTAGGTTGGCACCTACTCACCCATATCACTATCATTTGCAACTTTTTTCGAAATAATTTAATTCAAATTTAAAGCTAAGAAATAAAAATTACAATTTTATGAATATTATCTAATCATTATATCTATCTGCTAGTCCCAACTCTTCAAATTTATCTTCAATCATAGCAATCCGTTCGATGCCTTGTGTTCGCTTCTCGTATCTCCACCAATCCTGTAAGCACATCACCGCTTGTACAGTATACGGATCTAAGCATGTCCTGTGGTCGTCGATCAAACGTCCTGCTGTGCTGAAAGCGGATTCCGAGGCTACAGTCGAAACCTGCACTGATAGTAAGTCACGAACCATGGTGGAAAGTATAGGATATGAAACTGATCCATATACTTTCCACCATTGCAAAATATCTAAAGCATTTCCTTGACATCTAACTAAAGAAGCAGAAAAATATTCATCTATTTCAGAAACATCTAATCCTGATGAAGTTCCAGATCCACCAGTTAGTTCAGCTACCATTGCATACCTATCAAAACTTACACTTTTACCTCGACCTGTGCTCGAAGCTGAAGGTGCCGAAGCTGAAGACTGTTGTGTAGCTACACCATATCTAGCTGCATACTCATCATATAAGGTTTGAAAATAATTTCTAATAGCTAAATAATGAGTAGTAGCAGTAAGGGTGGATCCATCATCTAAGTCTATAATCTGTCCACCATACAATGATTGTAACAAACTTCGAAGGCCAATTTCCTTCAAGCATGGATCAATAAGAACACCAATACCAAAAATATGAGGAATAGGCCTAAAATACTTATTAAATTTACTCTCCATTTCAAAAATTATACTTCCAAAAATATCATCCATACGATATTTTGTAAAATTTTTTTGAATATTTAAAATTTGTAAAGCAGCTAAAGTAATAGTTGGATAATAACAACCAGATAATAACATAGTAGCATCATAAAAAACTTGTAACATCTCATTTAATTTACATATAACTGTCCATTCATCTTCAGTTATTCCATAAGCACTACCAGAGCTAGAACTAGAAGCATAAAAATTTATAAAATCATTTATAATTTCTTTATATTCTATTGCTACAGATAACATTGCATAGGTGGAATTCCACCTATGGTCAACATCTTTTGGAATTAGTCTAGGCTTATAATTTTTTCTTTTACAACATTGTTTCCATCTTTTAATTCTCATTTCAGAAGCATTATGCATATTAGTAACTGTTCTAACTTTTTCTATCATGGGTTTAATTTCAGAAAATGCACTTTGAACAATTAAATTTAAAATATGACAGATACATCTAACATGAAAAAGCTCACCATGACATGGCAATGACAAAGTTATTTTCAGAAAATCAACAGCTACATTATTATTACTTGCATTATCTAGTGAAAGAGTAAATATTCTTTGATCAATTTCTAGTTTCATAAGTTCTTCAACAATTAAATTTGCAACATTAATACCAGTGTGTGACTCTTCAATTGCAATAAAAGAAACAACTCTTTTAAATATTTTCCAACTTTCATCAATCCAGTGTGCTGTTATACATAAATAACCAGTTTGCACTCTAGATGACCAAATATCAGAAGTTAAAGAAAATTTGCAGTTTAAATTTTTAAAATAAGAAATTATTTTTCCCTGTTCCTCAACATAATATTTTAAAATATCACGTTGACAGGTTTGACGAGAAAATTTTGTAAATGCAGGATAAAAACCATCTCTAAACAAATCTTCAAATTCATCATCTTCTACTAATTTAAAAGGAAGGTTTTTAAGAACAATAAACTTGATTACGCATTTCCGGGCTCGGGCAGCGTCATAATTCTAACTGCCGAGGGTACCTGAAAAGGATGATTGGGAAAGCATAGACTGCCGGATATCACCTTGTAGATTTTGGCCTTTGTTGTGTTTTTCAATATGCCGTTTGAGATGGTTGGTGCCGCTCTTATGATGAGCTTTGAATATCTGGCTGCACAACGCACATTTCGCATTCTGAGAGATGATCCTACCGTGTTCATCCTTGGTGACGTCTATCTTCTCAAAAAAATTTCATACATCAGACCTCGGCCTTTTTGGAGCTCTTGGTGCCGTAGATTCGTCGCCACCAGATTCAGGATTAACACCGGTAGGATGAGGAGTTGTTGTAGGAGGACTCATCTCTGGATCGGTAGGAGATGCATGTTGTTCTCCATAATCAGACCCAGAAGCCGTTTGTTGGAAGTATTAGAAAATACAAAAGATTATAGGATAGTATATTAGTATGAGATAGTATAAGAGAGTAGTAGAGAGAGAAATAAATGAGTTTTGTTGTGAGGAAATGAATTGAAACCCCCCCCTCTATTTATAGAAGCAGCCCCCTAGGTAAATGACCAAAAAACCCTCGAAAAATAGCCGTTTTTTGACCGTTTTAAGGGGCAAAACGGTCAAAAGGTCAAATCTGGCCGTTAGGCCAGATTTGGCCCGGGCCGGGCTGGGCGGGCCCGGGCACGACCGGGCCGGGCCCGGGCCGGACACCGGGCCGGGCCCGGGCTCCGGGCTTTTTGGACACCCCTAGGCTGAACCCAAAGAAAAAAATATTCTCCCCATACAAAAGACGAGGATGGAAAAAATCAAGTAAGACTCTTCCCTGATAACGAAATATTGATACAATTTTTTTCTCCAAATAGTAGGATAACTTTGAGCGTCTAGTAGCAACAAACCATTGATTTTGGCAGATGCGCATTGATTTTGGCAGATGCGCCTTTTGGATTATTCGTGCTAAAATCAAACGCTGCCTTTGCAAGAGCATCCTCCCATTGATTGACTGAAAACGGAAATTATAGAGAGGATTCCGTTCTTGAAAAAAAAAAGATATTTAATAGGAAAACAACTATCGTTACCTTTTAACTTTGCATTTACTTACGTATGGAAAATTATCATTGTAATATACACTTCTGACTTATGTATAAATATGAAAATGGGTACACGCGCAATGCACGTGCACCATACTAGTATAGTAGAACTGTCTAATTTTTGCCTATAGTTTTTTGACCAAATAATAAAATTGCTTCTAGAAATATATTTCCTACAATATAATTA